AAATTGACTCACCCTCCAGTGGATTTTTGGAGGCAGTAAATTGTATGAGAGAAGATTGCTCATCTTTTTCCCGTGGAGCAGCTGGTGGGTTTGAACTGCGTACCTTTGTGTTAGCAGCACAGTTTCTGATCACTAAGCAACCAGAGATCCCCCTTTAAGGTTGTTGTTGTTCTTGTTAGATGCTGTTAAGTATGAATCATAGAGACAACAGATCTGAACCCTGACCTATCCTGTGCCACTATCATCATTTCTGACATATTTGAGTCTCTTTAAGGTAGCATCCTGGTATAATTATTTGATCACAACAACTCTTAAACCATCATTTATTGAATGAATCTGGAAGCTAGCAACAGGCTTATTTAGCTGAAGTCAATCCACTTTCAAAAACATCTCAGTAGCCTCATGCTTCATTATTCTTTACAGTGATAATCCTAAAGTATTTATAATTTTATGGTTTATTAGTTCCGTTTCCAATGCTCTAGTTTTCCTACCCTTTTATTGTCTCATCTTTGCTATTTTCTTTTTAAGATTTTTTTTCTTGTTGTGTATTGTTGAATCAGATCTGACTGGCACAGGAGGAAATTGCCCCTCCATCTCCAGTGGAGCATCTGGTGGATTTGAACCATGAGCCTTTGGTATTGCAGTGCAGCTTCTTGCCAGTAGGCCACCAAGAGTTCCCTTGCTTTTGAAAAATTGTTGACCTTTTAGTTTCATACTGTTGCTTCTTAAGTAGGCACCAGTCTAAAGGGCAGTCTCTTTTATATTTGTGTGCCACTCTCCTATCTTGCTAAAAGGTAATCTCAGCAGATAGCCTCAGTTCTGGTTTAAAGAGTTTCTAAGGGCAGTAATCTGAAGGGTCGTCTGTTCCCTACTTTTCAACTTTGTTTTTTAATAACAAAATGAGTTCTATTTCTTATTTCTTTGCCTTTCTATTTGGAAGTAACTCTTTTGACCCCAGTCAGTAAATTACACACCATCTAGTTGTTTGGGTCTTAGTATAGATGAGATTGTTGCTTATGTAGACTTGTTTGTTCTCTGAGCTTTTGGTCATCATTTTCCTGTTTTGCTCCTGGTGAGAAAAGACTGTAATTGTGTCTTAGATCACTATTCCCAAGGTTATAAGGCAGTCGATAAGCCTATCATGATCTTTGGGAATGATGGTATGTCAACTAACTGAGTTGGCACGTGAGGCTATGGTCATGTTTCAAACCTAGAAAGCCTATGTTGGAAGGTATTTGCTTATGTTTGTCTTTAATGAATACATGTATTTCCTTATACCCATAGTTATATTTACATGTACCGATAGGTTGTTTTGCATCTATCTCTACTCATATACTATTTGCCCATACCCATCCATATATGCCATATGGGCTCATACTTGTAACTTTTATTGTGCTGTGGTCTTTACATCATAATCAGTGTTGTCTCATCTCACCTTAACCTTCCTTACCAGTGGATGTGGAGATTTGGTCTCCACATTCTTATATTGTAAGAGTGGGGAAATATATTTATCATTATGTTCCTAAGTTCTTTCACTTGGCATTATATCTTCCAGTTGTTTTTTTTTTTAATGTTATGTTTTATGGGCATATTATTGTTCTTTATGTTTGCTTGGTATTCCAACTTAACTTTCTTCATGAATGATGTCCTTCATGTTATCCCACAATTTATCTTTAGTTCTTGTTTTGATTTTCTTCAGCTTCAACCTGAATTTGCATGTAAGCAATTTATGGTGTACTCTGTAGTCACCCCTGACCTTATTCTCACTGATACTGAGCTTCTCCACAGATGTAGTCAGTTTGAGTCCCATGTATTCCATCTGGAAAAATCTAGACATATGGTTACCATTTATACTGTTGACAGAAGTATATCTAATGAATAGATCAGTACTGATCTTGCAAAATTCTATTATGTGAGGCCCAGTGTAGTTTTTACTACCAAGGCCATATTTTGCAACTGATCCTTCTTCCCTCCCCAACTTGAATGTTCTAGTAATTAGAAAATTATCAGTCCATTTTTAATCTATGCTTAAGTTAAGGTTGCAAAAGCTTATACAAATATTAAATTTATTTTTGCCATTGTTAGTGTTTAAGCTTGAATAATAGTTATTTTTTCTTCACAGTGAATATTATTATTTTAACCAGTATTATCTGTCAGTTAGCAGCATTATACTTTAGGACAGATCTTGGTATATTATTTTTTACAATAAATCCGATGACAATTAATTTAAATTTTTCATTTCTATGATAGACACTAGGGTTTTCTTGAATGAAAATGGCCAGGACCAGCATATTTTAGTCAGTGATGCCTAGTATATTGACCTTCAAGCATTCTGTTTTTTTCTGACAAATTTTCCTAGATCCATATCTCATATGTTTACATTCTGATTATTGTGCATATTGTAAGCAATTAGAATAGCCTAGTGCACCGGGAACTATGCTACTAACCCGAAGGGCACAACTCTCTGATGATTCCAATCCCTCAGTGACTCAGAGTGGAAGATGGGCATTCTCCTCCTGTGCGGTTTATAGCTTCAAAAAACCCACTACAGGCTCAGCTATGTCAGTTCCAACTCAGGTGATGAGGATCCATTTGAGTTTTCTCATTTTGAGATAAACTAGATCAGCATTTGAAGGTTCTGAAAGCTTTATGCCATCTACATCATTAACGTCAGCTCCTTTTTTGAGGAAGACATAGTTGTATTTTGAGAGCTTTCAGCTGGAGGAACTCCTCTTTTCTGTTTCTCATTTTCTCAATGTTCTGCTACTGTTCATTTTTTTCTGAAGCAGGTCCTTCTTTCTGATCTGTCCTAGTAGCCACTGTGGGTGATCCTACTGGTATTTGAAATATTGATGGTATAGTTTCCAGCATCATAACAACTCTTATGACATTATAGTATGAAAAACTGACAGACATGAGGTAGCAGTTGATGGCAGTAGATGAAATATTAGTTTTATCTCCTTGATCAAATGATTTAAGGTCTAAAATGGAAAAGCACTCTTTAGGCTAAATTGAGTGAAAAATGTGCATTTGTGTGTGTGTATCCTAGTTTTAAAAACTTTCTCTGTCCCCAGGATATCCTACCTACAAAGAAAAAGTAAAGAAAAGGCCTGGAGGCCGTCCAGAAGTGATTTACAACTATGTCCAAAGACCTTTTATTCGAATGTCTTGGGAAAAGGAAGAAGGAAAAAGTCGGCATGTAGACTTTCAATGTGTAAAAAGTAAATCTATTACCAACCTTGCAGCCGCTGCAGCTGACATTCCCCAGGACCAGCTAGTTGTCATGCATCCCACTCCACAAGTGGATGAGCTGGATATTCTCCCTATTCAGCCCCCTTCTGGCAACAATGACCTCGATCCTGATGGACAGAATCCAATGCTGTGATGCTGCTGTTACGTGAAACCATAGCATGCTACTCTTCACAGTGATGTTGTACTACTCATACTGCACTGCAAGGCCACTCTTCTTCATTGTGAGATGCACATAACAATGTATAGGATATTGCAGTGTAGGCTATTTTTAAAGACCAAAGGTAGCTGAATGGTTTTTTAAAATGAGTACAACTCTAGCATCCTGAGGTTCCAGTTATATAAATGTATTTGTTTACCAGTAGGTTTGTGAAATTGGTTCTTTGTATGGAGACAGTCCTTTTTCACACATCTAGATCTTTTCAGAAGTGGTGGAAATTGGCAGCTGGGGTACCTTCAGTCTAGATTAATATTGGTAATACCCCAAATAAAATGCAAAATATTTAGTTGCACTTTATAAATGGTGGTTAAATGGAGCTGTTCAAGCCATTTTTATAGTTATGTTGCACAGTATAACTTAAATAAGTGCTTCTATCAGAGTATCCCTCCAGTAAGATGTGTATAGTTTGCTGCCCACTCATGAGCACAAACTGGGTGTTTTGTCATTGAGCTTATCTGAATGATTAGGATGAGATTCCTTGCCCATATCGTATCAGTTCAGGTATCTCCGGTGCTGTTTTCACCCGTTTAGAGTGAGTCAGTGGAGGGGGTGTGAACATTAGAGGTGGTTTATTATCCAGTCTGCCTTACCCGTAAACTGTTCACAGATATTTATTTACTAATGTGTTTTTTTCTTAAGAGTTATGGGATAGGAAAATGAAGTGTTTGCTCTTCATTTACTAAATGATTGTAAACTCAAGTTTTTCATCAAAATAAAATTCCATTGTTTTAATGTTTCTGATCAACTTTATAACTACCTTTTTTAGCCTCATAATTGGCTTGTTTCCTGTTCTACTGGTGTAAGCATGAATAGAAATCAAGTACCAATTCAAGGAGTTCTAGTTTGGTGTGTGATGTGGCACTTAGATTCTGTACTAATTCTAATTTTAAAATATACTCTATGCAAAACTATTAAAGGTGAGAAAAGCATCTTCTAATCTAACCTGATAGGGAGCTCTGGTGGCCTTGTGGTAAGGAGTTGCACTGCCAACATGAAAGCACATGGTTCAAACCCACTAGCTGCTCTGGAGAAAGATAGGCAATCTCCTGTGTGATTTACGGCTTCTGAAAAACCCACGGGAGGGTCAGCTATGAGTCGATTGTCACTCAGTGAGTGAGTGTTCTTAGCAAATTATTCAAATAAAGCTATTTTTAATCTTCTGTGGCCCTTTTCAAAAAGGAATAAAAAATATTTAGGTGCTTGAGGACTAGCATCACTTTAGAGCCATGCAACTGCTAGCAGGGGTGGTGGACATGCCACTGTTGTATCTAAACTTAAACTTAAGTTTCAGAAGATTTAACATTCGTCTTTAAGTACTAACATCTCTTTCTCTTGCATAAATTAAAATTGAAAGTTTAACAATACAGCTAAGACAGTAGCATAGGGTTAGACAAATCTCAGAATTGTTACCATGGCAAGCAAGGCACTGCAAATGTTTCTGGCATGACTGTTAACACCTCCTGTGGAGAAGGGATGGTATAGCCCTGAGCATGTAGGATTTTTTCCCTAATTATCTGCAATGTGAACGGTATTTATAGAACAAGGGAAACATTTATTAAAAATATGTAACTGTCTAATACATTATACTTTAACTCATATTTATAGTAAAGGATTCTTACAAGGAAGAATAAACAGCTTTATGATACAATTAGTATAAGAAATATCCACATGGGGGACTTCTTTGTAGTGTAAAAACACCATACATCTGAAATGACCATTTGCATATAAAAGCTACCAATGATGCTTCTGTGCACAATGATTAAAAAATTCAACACAAACAGAATCCAAAATATACAATTAATGCAAGCTATCCACAGCTAGCCCAATAATCAATGATGAGGACACACTGAAGCAGGCTTAGTTCCACTTTGTCTGAAGTTACACATAAAAAGATTGACTTGTATCAATGGCTCTGAGATGGCTTTTATGAAGACAGCACATAAAAGCTGTTCTCTTCTTATCCATTAAGCTTCACAGACTGTAAAACTCCACCAGTAATGCACTTTGATACTGTAGCTGTCGCCAAAGCAACATGTAGTGTTTACAATGGCCATGGCAAGTCGCTAAAGTCAACAGGACCACCCAGTCCAGCGTCAGCTTCCAAAAGGCTCATGATGACAGCCATTGCCGCTTCGTCATTGCTAGGACTACTTGAGCCTTGGTCATTATCTATCATGTCGATTCCTATGTGGGGGTTCTCGCCTGGGGAAGAAATTAAGAGTGATCAGTGGCCAGAAATACCAAAGCATGCTAAGCTTAATTAGGCAATTTGTAAGCAAATTTTTTAGGAAGATATTACATTTAACAGTAAGGTGAGAGGAGATGCTTCTTAGGCCTATATTGCCATATTTTCGCTCAATATCGACATTTTTCAGAGGAACAAACTAGTGTTAACAAATAAGAACATTGTATTTGAAAATCAGTAACTAGTAAAACTGTTTGCCCTGAGTTTATTTAATGTTCTAAGGGGAGTAGATTCCAGATGGAAAGATAAATATGAAAGAGCGATAAGGAAAAAAGAATTTAGAAAGCCAAGAAAGGAAAAAGTGCTTTGGGTGGGATGAAGCAATGTTCATCATGAGATGACTTTGAACACTGGAATGCTTAATGCGTCTTCTAGGCCTTACCTCTGAGGCTTCAGCTGCGCTCCCTAGAAAGCCTGTCTAGGCTGCTCGTATCCACCTTGTGAGGCCGTAGGACAAATGTGGATCCCCACCAAAAACTCAGCCATTAAGCAGAGATTTAAATAAATGTTCTGGTCTTTGCTCTTATCAAATGTAATTAGAATTAGTTTTCTTATACAATTCAGTTCTTAAAGCTAACTTCATGCCCAATGTTTTGCAAGCTTGCTGCAGTGAAATGAATGATGATGCCACTTACCAAGAATAGAAGAACTATCAGAATATGGATAACCTGGGTTCTCCTGAGCCTGCCCTGGTAGTAGGCCACTGGAAGGAATGTCTGGAGTCCCTCCGTTTAAAATCTACAAACAAAAGGGGAGAGGTTTGAAGTTTTCCTTTCATACTATTATATCTTTAATAAGTAACATGTACAATGTCACCAAGAAAGTAAAGCATGTGGGAAAGAGGAAGTGGGAGGAAAATGTCAAATGGTTTCAGATTAGAAGATTGGATGGTTTCAAACAAGGGAATGTTTGGATGGCCAGTGCAAAAAAAAAAACCCCAAACAAACAAAATTTCACCCTCAAACTATTCTTCATTCAGTTCATCCCACACAAGGAACTTAAAAGCTGAATGAAATCCAGAGACCATTCATTTACCCGAGATTGTGCTGCACACTTGATTTTGTAAGTCTAAGAACTAAACTTCAGTAGCCTTGCAGGGAAGTAAAACATCTCAACAACAACAGATGTTGAAGAAACAGTAAGTGAGGTTGTTAATAAACGTCGTCACAAATTGAGAATAACAAGTAAATCTCTTATCATCACGTATATCACAGTAGCGTGTGGCTTTTCTTACATAGGCCCTTGATCCAAAGCAGAACTGTAAAACTTCTTGTTGACTGCACAACTCATAGTGACCTAATGAACAAAAGGCCTGAAACCTTTATATAACTATTGTCATTCACAGAGTTTCCAGAGGTTTGTGGTTTAGGAAGTGATGCCACTCCTGCTTCCAAACCTGTCTTAAACTGGGAGCTCCATCAAACACTGTCCACCATGGGCAGCTGTTAGGGCATTTAACTCCTCAATGGCACAAGGTTCAGCTTCACAGCAAACCCAGATTACCTCAGTACACCAAACTGACAGAGTGTTGTCCCACTTAGAACAATGTTCCTCTAAAATAAAATAACCCTAGAGCCCAACCATCTCTTAAATACTGTCTTAAAATATCCCTTTATCACCCTACCCCTTTCTCCTTGGCTCACCCTCCTCCCTCCACTTCCTTCTTCAGTCTACTTCAAGAATATCAAGTATTAGGATGTGTTGTGATTCTAGATTTCAGGAGAGATGTGGCTTCCAGGCATGCCAGTAGGTGGCATTACAACTTTATCTCTGCAGTTCTCTCAGACTCCACCCTTGCTCCTCCTTTACAAGATTAAAAATTCCTAAGGTTATATTTATTATTATTTAGTATACTGAAATGAAAAAATCTTAAAAATATATTTCCATGATAACAAAAAGCATTTTAATGAAAAATAACTTTCTAAAACAAATTAGGAAAGAGTTTCATTGTTTTGCATTTTTGCAGTTGATGTCTGGCTTAATAGAACAGCTGAATTTTCATAGTTACTTCTGAATTCAGTCTGTTGTGATCCATTGTTCCGGTTGAAGTATATCCGGCCTCCCACAGATAATTATTTGGAAAAGGGGTCTATCTTTATAACTTTTTTAAAAACATAACTCTGATATTTACATCAAAATTTAACCAGTAATAGTTTCTTAAATGATCTTCTGTCAAATAAAATCATTGGCATATCTTGGCATTTCTTTTGCCCTTTCATGATTTGGAAATATCTTGCATTGGTCATTTGAAAAATTCTGGTTCACTGCATCAAGAGATCTTCCAGATGGAGACACGTTTTGTTAATACAACATCAAAGGATTGTTTTTGTTGAGACTTTAGCTCACAGTGGCAGTTATGATTGTTCTAACATTCTAATTTTTGCTTGAAAATGAACATTTTTATTACTGGCAAACAAATACTATCACTTCTTTTCCTTGAAGCCACAGGTTCCTATAATTCTTTTTCAAGAAAATGTACATATGCTGAATCACCCAATTCTAAACAACTATGGTTTGCCATAGTAAAAATGTCTCATGAGAAGAGCAGCAGTTCAAGCCACAAGTTAAACAACTGAAGGAGTTTTTTTCACACGTTAGCCAACAGTTTGGCTTCATGCACATTTCTCATTTTGCTACAGAGAATATGAAAAAGATAATGTACACAAAGATTAAAGTTACGATTTTTCACTGCTTTTGTTAAGAGTATTCTGCAGTGAAATTGGTTTAACTTTTGTGTGTGTGAATAGTACATTGATCAGTAGTACAGCCTTCATTTATGCTAAAGCACCAGAAATTTTACCCAGCATTTTCCTTTTCATTATTGTCCACATATCAACACATGGGAGGAAACGCTATATGGCATTAAAATGGTTTTGACTTTACAGGCCCCCCTGTGAGAGTATGAGGGTCTACCTAGTAGACCATGAACCTACAGGTTGAGAACCACAGTTTTATCTGAATCTGCCTTGGTACTTCTGGATGTTCCGACTCACCTGGTCTCCCCTGTTAGCTTGATCTTGACTGAAATATCTGAAAGGCTACACGGCTCATTTTTGGGCCTGCCAAATTAGAAAGTGACTGAGAAAGAGTGAAGAGCACGGGCCTGCCTCTCCTCCAGTGAGTCTGGTGCACCATTTCATTTTGCTATCATAGTGAACTCCTTGTTCAGACTGCTTTCTGAAATAAGTCCTGCTGCTGAAAACTCACAAGAGGATACATGCAGCCCCATACCCATTTTCATAAGCCTGAGGAAAAGATAAAAATAAACTAAAAAACCTCTTTATAAATGCATCAAACAAAAATACTTAAAACTTTTGTAAGACTGTTGTTGACATGAAAATAATTAGAAGAGAATGGATTATAGTTTGCTTCTTACATTTATTAACAAATTCTGGGCATAATCACTTAACATTTGGGAGTCTAGATTTTGACACCTGTAATAATGAAACTTTTATTTTTCGTCAACTTTATTTCCATTTTTTAAAAGACAGTTTAAGACCACTTGGTGATGATTCTGACCCACTCAGTGGCCTGAGCAGTGGGGGGCTGCAGGCCAGTCTTCAGTTGCGGGCTGAGTGCTCCGGTCTTCAGTAGGGAACTGCTGAATCGCCACTGAGCACCTGGACACCTTCGGACCAGCCCACAACCCCAGCCTGAGCAGCAGTGAATTCAGAAGCAGGGGCTGTCCTTTCTCCCTGAAACTCCTCCATGGTCACAGCGTTTTCAGCCGCAGCCTGTTGTTCTTTTTGAATCTCTTCCAGATCTCTGTACAGATCAAGTATGACCTCCCACGGGTGTTCCCAGGAGATTGTGCCACACATGCACAGGACTTCCCGGGCCAGCATCCACCACATCAGACCCATGGAGTGAGCTCCCTTGTTGCATGGGATAGCAGTGTCTACGTAGCACGGAGGAGAATCTGTTTTACACAGGGCAAGTTAACAAAAGATTCTTCTGTCAGCCCAGGATCAGTAACAACCAGAAGACGAGGCTCCCGGCAGGCTCCTTCGATCTGGTTAGTGAAGGTTCCAGGAGTGAAGTGCCCAGCAATAGGAGTGGCCCCAGTAGCAGCTCTCTGGCCAGTATTTCTGGAGGATATGACACTGACATCAGCTGGATTTTCGATGGCGACAATGGCATGTGCAGTCTAGAGAAGCTTCTCCCAGGTTCTCTTTAGATTTATGATGTAGATGCCATCAGTTTTCCTTTTGTAAATGACCTGTTCCATTTGGAAGTCAAAGTTGGTACCACCCAAATGCATTCCTGCTGCAAGGAATTTGAGGACATCCTTCTCCTTCATCTTTAGGACATCAAGGGGTCTGGACATGTGGAAGTTGCCCCCTCAAGTTACGATGGGAACCAGGATAACGCCGTATGGACCCTTGTGTGGGTAGCGCGGGAATGCGCCACCTAGAAATTTTTAAGGATAAGAGAATGTACAAGAAAATTCCTAGAGGAAGATTTAAGTTCTCTTTTGGAGTGATACCTTTCAAAATAATACAAGTAGTCCCTGATTTACAATGTATTCTGAGTTACGATGAGCCATACAGCTGCTTGATGTGTGTGTGGGGTGTGTGGTTTGGGTTTTTTTTTTTATCTTGTTATTAATAATGCATATTACAACACTGTAGCATGTAATTTGCTGATGTTATCATGCTTAGATGTTCACTTGCAGATGTTCAAAGATAAGATTTATCGAAGTTATGCAACATAAGTCAGAACCAACTTAAATTCAATTTGTCAGCATGGAACCCTGTTGTGTATTGTGGTCTACCTGTAGTAGGAGTCCTAGTTAAACCTGATGTCAAGAAGGGTCTGAGGACTGAGTTAAGTGGAAAAGGGGAGCCCACCTTAATATCGAAGGAAAGGTCTAAGAGGATCCAATAGGAGAATAGAGCTAAAAGCACAGCCTGCAAGTAGTGGCTAGGGATGCCTGGTTCCAACTTCATCAAATAACATTGTTATGAAAGGCTAGGTGCTTCTACATATAATAGTCATTTAATCTTCATTTACATCAATATCTTGACGGTTAGCCTATCATACAGGAAACTGAAAACCCTCAGACTCGTTGTCGAGCTGGAACCAACTCATAGTTGACCTTCCAGTGGGTTTTCAAAGGCTGTAAATCACACCACAGGAGACTTCCCATCATTCTTCCATGGAGCAGATGGTGGATTTGAACTGTCTTGCCTTTGGATTGGTAGCACAACCCCTTACCAACTAAGCTCCTTTAAAAAAAACGAAGGCTTCAAAATTATACAAAATTACACATACCTAGCACATGGCAAAGCTGGGCTATGAACCCAGGTCTTTTATTTTGACAATGTTGTTAAGCAGTTTATTGACTTTCAAACTTTCAGGGAAGTTACAGGGGCAAAACTTTTTCAAATATAACCTTTTGCAGAAGATTCATATACAAAGCAAAGCTGCCCTGGTCAAAGCAGCAGTCGACCTTACCCTTTTCCTGTCATCAAGTGTTCTTGTGCTTGTCCACGTCACAGGACCACAGCTCCTGGTAACTTGAGTCTCTGAGGAGCCCAGGCTTGAAAGCCTCTGCCCTGCATTTGTTCTGACACAGTTTGTGCCCTAGATTTCCCATCTATCTAAATCACTAAGAGTCTCTACATTTTGGAAAACGAAGGAGAATGGCTTCCTATGCAAAGATGCTGGCCCTTTGGTTAACCTATATTAAAGTGGGGCACTAAAAATAGACTTAAAATTTATAATTAACATGAGCCTTGGGTTGTACATTCTTGGCAAAGATGAAAACTTAACATTGTTTCTAAGCTTATTTATAGTCTAGTCTTCTAGCCAGCTTCTCATGAGGGCCGACAATTCATAACCTACTTTTGGCCAATGCCATCTCATCGCAGGAAACCGGGGCAGCAAATCCCCTTGTATTCTGCAGCTGGAAAAGCATGGCCTGACTTAATGCTAGTGGCAATGCTGTTTCTACTGCCTGCCCCAGCCATTAAGAATATTGTCTCCCTTGAAAATTGCTGGCACGGAATGAGATACTTTTCTGTATGAAGTACTCATAAATTCTTCCCTCCTGGGAGCTCTTGAATTAGTCCCTCAATGGAACGAACTACCAGGTCCTCTCTTCAGAGCATCTCCTGCCTTGCCCCGCTCACAGGAACTAAGGCCTCTGTGGATGTCAGCATGCTTCCCTCATTTCACCAGTATGCGTTGGACCCAGACTCACTTCAAGGAGAAAATAGGGCCCAATTTGTTTTAGCAGAAGCAGAAGATCTTTTTATCTTTCCTAGGGTTTGATCACAGTTGTAATTATATACTCCTCCCTCATTGGGTAAGAGATTCTGTGTTAACAGGGGCCTTAGTCTAAGAGACATGAGCTTACCTTCTTGCCTCCTGGTGAAGAGGCATCAGGGGGAGGTGTACTTGTGATGTTCAATGGGCTGGAGCCACAGCTAGAAGGTGAGGAGCCTCTTATCCTGTCAGGAAATAGTAGAGTGAGTTCCAGAGCCTTTTTATTGGAATTGAAGGATAGTAGTAAGAAGATCTAGGACAAATGTTGGCAACTTTTTCTGAAGAAAGCCAATTAGTCTTTGTGAATCATACAGCCTGTTATAACTACCCAGCTCTGCCACTGTAGTTTGAAAGCAGTCAGGTAATACAAATAAATGGGGGGGCGGGGGTTGTCGTTGTTATGTGCTGTCGAGTTGCTTGTAACTCATAGTGACCCTATGTACAATAGCCCTAAACCCTGCTCTATTCTTTGCCTATCTTACTGTCTCTGACATGCCTATCCCCATTACCCCAGTGATGGAATCAATCCATCTCATCGAGGGTCTTCCTCTTCTGTGCTGTCCCTCCACCCTGCCAAGCATGACGTCCCTCTTCAAGGACTGATCCCGCCTTGCAACATGTCCAAAGTATGTCACATGGACCTTCAGAATTCTTGCCTCTAAGAAGTAGCCTGATCTCACCCTCTCCAGGACAAACCTGTTTGTTCTAGCAGTCCATGGTATATTCAATACTCTTCTTCAGCACTACAACTCAAAGGCATCAACTCCTCTATCATCCCTACTCATTGTGCAGCTCTCTGATGCAGAGTAAGTAATTGTAAAGACCATGGCTTATATCAGGTGCACCTTAGTCTCCAGACTGACATTGTTGCTGCTCAGGACCTTGGAGAGGTCTCTGACAGCAGACTTTAACAATGCATTTTGTCTTTTAATTTCCTGGCTGCTGGTACCAAGACTGTGGATTATAGAGCCAAGCAAACTGAAGCTATCAACAATCTCAATCTCTTCATCATCCGTCATGATGCTGCCAATTGGCCCAGAGCTGAGAATCTTTGGTTTTTTGATAGTGAGCGGCAATCCATATCGAAGGCTGCAGTCCTTGACCTTCTGTGCTTCAGGTCCTCCTTAGTTTCAGCAAGCAGGGTTGTGTCATCTGCATAACACAGATTGTTGATGAATCTTCCTCCAATCCTGATGCCACACTTCTCATAGATTCCTGCCTCCCAGATAATCTGTTCCACATATAGATTGAAAAGGAGACAGGGCACATCCCTTGATGCATACCTTTCCCAATTTTGAACCACACAGTGTTTCCTTGCTCTGTTCTGACGACTGCCTCCTGGTCCAAGTATAAGTTTTGCATAAGCCCTGTTCTGACGACTGCCTCCTGGTCCAAGTATAAGTTTTGCATAAGCCCTGTTCTGACGACTGCCTCCTGGTCCAAGTATAAGTTTTGCATAAGCCCTGTTCTGACGACTGCCTCCTGGTCCAAGTATAAGTTTTGCATAAGCCCAATCAAGTGTTCTGGGATTCCTATTCTTCTCAGACTCAGCTACCGTTTGTTGTGATCCACACAGTCAAATGCCTTTGCACAGTCAATGAAATACTGATAGATACTCCTCTGGTACTCTCTGCTTTCAGTCAAGGTCCATCTGACATTAGCTGTAATATCCCTTGTGCCATGGCCTCTTCTAAATCCAGCCTGCACTTCAGGCAGTTCTCTTCCAGTTGTTTTTGGATAATCTTCATGGGTGTGTGTATATGTACCAATAAAACTTTATTTATGAAAACAGATGGCAAGGTGCATTTAACTCACAGGCCCCTGATAGAGAATGCAGATCCTGAAATGATGCATCTCACTTATAAAGCCCTGCAATAATAATGCTTGCATTTCAGGTGGGTCAATTTCAAGCAAGTGGCCAGAGATCTATTTCCTTATATGTTGTTCTTAGGCACCTTTTAGCCTAGTATGACACAGCGACACTATAAACAATAGATCTGAACCCTGTCCTATCCTGTGCCATCTTCATCAGCTCTGACACAGTTAAGCTCACTGCTACAGTCATTGTGTCAGTCCATTTCATTGAAGGTCTTCCTCTTTTTTACTGACCCCCTAATTTTCCAAGCATGATGCCCATTTCCAAGGAATAGCTTTGCCTAACAGAATGTCTAAAAATGTGTGAGATGAAGTTTTGTCATCTTGCCTTCAGGAAGCATTTTGGCTGCATTTCTCCAAGACAGATGAATTTGTTCTTTTGGCAGTCCATGGGATATTCAGTATTCTTGTCCAACACCACAGCTCAAAGGCATTAATTCAGTGTTCAGCTCTAAGGTGCATAGAAAGTGATGGAAAAGATCAGGCCCTAAATCAGGCACACTTTAGGCTTCAGATTGGCATCACTGCTCCTCAATGTTTTGGAGAGGTCCCCGACAGCAGACTTGCCCAATGAAGTCTAATCTCCTGACTGCTGGAACCAAGGCTATTGATTATGGATCCCAGTAAGATGAAATCATTGGCAATGTGAACCTTGTCTCCATCTGTCATGATGTTGCTTATCGGTTCAGTGGTGAGAATTTTTGTCTTAATACTTAAATGCAATCCATATTGAAGGCTGGAGTCATATTCTGCAGCAAGTGCTTCAAGTCCTCCTCACTTCAGCAAGCAACCTCAGTTTCAAGGTTGGAGGGGAACCTCAACCCTTGAAAACATGAACTTAAATCCACAGGAAATAGCTTATCTTTTTCTGTACTTTTGCTGTTTAAGGAAACACTGTATTTATTCCTCTTGGAAAATGCGGTGCTCCAAGGCCAAGTGCAGTCAGACCTAGAACACAGCGCTGTAAGCTCATGCAGTCAATAAGGCAGCAGGAAACAGAAAGCAGGTGCAGCAAATCTCCCAGAATAGTGGGTATATAGATAAGCTCTGACTTGGGGAACTCTAATGGCTTAGTGGTAGGGAATTGTGCTGCCTTTGCAAAGGTATGTGGATAGAATCCACCAGCTGCTTTACAGGAGAAGGATGGGAAGTCAACTCCCACTGCCTCTGAGAAACCACTGGAGGGTCAGCTATCAGTTGGCTTTGACTCAACAACATTTAAAATTCTAATAAAATTAGAATGTAAATCCATAAAAATGTTTCTCAGGCTCAAAGGCCTTCAGGAAAGGAAGCCACGACTTGGCACACCCAGGGTTTATGATGAAATGGCAGCAGCTGTGTGTCTGCCAGGCTCTCGGCTCCTATGTGGACGACTAAAGCTTTTGAGTCACCCAGTCTTTTTTGATTCTTGGTCTGTTCTGCCTAATTCTGTGTATTTATTTGCCAGAAAACAAGCTTTCTCTCAAGGCCACAGAACTAGGCAGTCTTAACAAAATGGCAATTAATTGCTTATGTAAAAACTGTTGACTTTCTCCTACTTTTCCCTACATCTGTGAGCATTCTCAGGTTCCTTATCCTGGAATCATCATCTCATTCCTCACATTTTAACATGAATATCCAATCAATCCAGAGATTACTGATTCCTCTTTAGGACTGCATCATCACCGGAGGCTGGACCGCATTCCTGGGTTAACCAGCATGCCCATCTTCTATAATGCTTAGCATGGCACTTTGAACACCATCTCAGCAGCCTACTGTGAATAGAGTTCTGTAGTTTTCCTTCTGTACAAACTACTCAGAATAATTTTTTAGAGGTCTCAGCATTCTGTCATTGTAGCTCTGCGTCTCTTTGCTACAAAGCAGCTGCCCAGCTAGAAGGCCTGCTCATTGGCCCTAAACTTGTGGCCCATGGGCCCACTCAGTGGCTGCCTGGCTTTGAGGGAGGGTTTGCCCACCTGTCCTGCAAACCTGACCTGCCCATTAAGATTGAGCTCAAACTCTTGTTTGCTTCATGCCCTGTAATCTCCTTTTCTATGATCGTGAAGGAATAGACTTCAGTGTAGTGTATAATGGACCAGGCCACTAACCAAAAGGTTAATGGTTTGAATCCACAAGTCACTCTGAGGGACAAAGATGGGTAATCACCTCCTGTAAAGGTTAGTCTCTCCGAAACCTGCCAGACTATCAGTGTGAGTTGACAGTGACTCAGGGCCAGTGGGTGGGCCTCAGGCAATGTACAAAGCAGACAGTGACTGCTCAGAACCTGATTATCACTGCATACTCCTCCCCACATTTCCTTCCTACCACAGGGCCAGGGCAATCAATGCTGTGGGGTGAGGAAAGAACTGAGATAGCCCTGGGCACAGAACCACTACCTGCCACATGGCAAACGGGCCAACGAGAAGTCTTTTCTATGATCAAGCTCCGTTAAATTTTGTATTCTCCAAACTTAGAAAGACATGTAGTACTGGCTTTCTTCCCACTGACTTCTTCTAAAGGCTCTAGGCAGTCTCGTAATTTGAACATGCACTATGACATGCTCTGGGTAGGCATAAGACCTCTCCCAATCCTAACACAAACATTGAAGATGCTTTGGGAGAGAGATACCACCTCCCTTTTACGGTTTAAGCCAATAGAAACCAAGACATTGACTCAGTCACACTCAGCCAGAGAGACAAGCTCTGGATTCAAACTTAAGTGGGTCTGGTTCCAATCTTTCATATGGGAAAAAAGTTTCTCTTAAGATACTACATCCCTCAGCTGCTGATCTACTTCGTTTCTATTACCAACCTGACTTTCTGTTAAGCCTCAGATGACTAGAGTTAGCGTTTATACCTCTAAATGCTGGTATACACCCACCTCACTGGGGAGCTTCAGACATCACACACAGAGGAAAGGATGTACAGGGTAGGAAGAAAACTCTGGCTACTTTTTTATTTTTCCTCTTTGGTTTCTCAAGATTGGCACTACTGACATGTTGGCCAGCTAATTCTCTACTGCAAATGCTGCCCAGTGAGCTCCAGGAGGTTGGGCCGTGTCCCTGGTCCCTAGCCATTCACCGTTTAGCATTACTTTCCCACCCATCTGCGACACCAAAAATGTCTCCACTGAAAAATAGTCCCTGGAAAGTGAATCTATCTCAGGAAGAGCACTACTAGGCTAGTTGAAGGGAGTAAAGCAGGAGGTGTTACGTACCTGTGGATTTCCATGATTTCCTCAGCAATCATTCGACCTATTTTTCCTGCCCCAGCCCTGGTTCCTCCTGGGATCCCTGGAACAGTGGGTTGGGTCCTCTTTGGGCCACCTACGACAGAGAATCCGAGAGTAAGAAAGAATGAGAAGTTTATGAAGAAATGCTAATAAATGTAAACTTAAAGCCAGTTCATGCCATGATCTACTTGAAGTTCAACTTCAAAGTTGTGCATTGAGCTACAGTGTGCCAGGAAGTAGGGGTAGAAAGCATTCCAACATGGAAAGGCACACATTTCATTCCAGGATAAGACACCAACGTGCTGACATGAAGCATCTGATCCTAAACATTCAAAGAACGTTACTGAGTACCAATGTTGCGCATGACTGACCGTGACACCAGAGTCACAGAGAACTAGCATCCCTGCCCTCAAGGAGCTCACAGTCTAATTGGGGAAATGTCCAGGATGAACAACAGCTACAGCCACGTGTGGTGAACTTGACAGGTCAGCGTGAGGCACCTAATTCATCCAGGAATGGATTTCCTGAACTGAAGCTTGAGGGAGGAGTATACACGAGCTTGAAAGAGAGGTAATAAGGGGAGAGCGATTCCAGACTCAGTGGCCAGCAAGTGCGAACGTACTGAGGCAGGCCAAAACTTGGGACACGACTCCAGTGAATTTGCAATGACTGATGAAACTGGAGAGATGGCCACTCATCTGATCATGAAGGAACAGATGCCATACTGAGGAGTCTGGACAGAAGAGTGTCTAGGAGGTGAGGAGTATGCAAGGACTTTCCACAGCCAAGACTCCTAGTTGTTAAGAAGTCCACTCTATGATGGAACTAACTGTAGAGGCGGGCAGGGGGTGAGGGCAGTGTAACTAGTATGAGGACATTCTCTGCAACCACGCAGGCAGGAGTGAGGAGGGCGAAGTGGCAGTAGCAGTGATGGAGGCATTTAAGAAAGGGGCAGGACTGCATGTTTAGGAGGAGAGGTAGGAGTTGGAGTTTCTGGCCCAAACAACCAACCAGCCAGGGAAGCACAGGGGGTTAGTCTCAGAGACACTGAAACTCCAGGTGGCTCTGCCCAGAAGGAGGCTGCAAAGATAGATCTGGAGCTCAGGGGACACTGGACTGGGGACGTGGCTGTGTGATCATCACGGCTGAGGTCAGGTCTTGAGCCCTGCAAGCAGGTGTATCCCCAAGCAAGAACGAGTAGGGTGCAGACAGCAGGGGTCCTGCTGGCCACAGCACAGCCCCCAGCACCAACAAACACCTTCCTCCCAACCACAGGAGCCACTGACAGTCACCAAGGAGCACAATGTGCAGCACGGAGTACAGCATCAGAGGGAGACTTCGGGATTGCAAAGGCTTCCAGGATCTAGTAGTCCCAGGAAAGGCAAAAAAATGAGTTCCCAGTTTTCCAGGCCCAACAGAGAAAGTGAGATGACAACAGCATCATCAATAGTCATGGGTGGGTCAGCACAGGACTGCCTCAAGGTCTCCCTTGTTCCATGACAAATGGCCTCAAGGGGCCTCCAACACTCGGGGGAGGGTATGTGGCCACAAGTAGGTCAGTGGGCCAGCCCAGCACCCGCCAGTGCATAGTTACCTTCTCCAGAGGGCAGCATGCTGTCCATGCTGTGGGGGGACGCTGTGAGCTGTGGGAAGGTTGGGTCCCCGCCTTCCAGGACGTTGGCTCTGTGAACATCCCAGCAATAAAGAAACGTGAGTCAGGCCTGCTCAGAACTGAGCACCTTGCACCTTTGGCCCACACGTCCAGTGTCCACTCAGGACCTGGACAGGCCAGAAAACAAAGGGTCTGTCTGAGTAGCTGAACAGGTCTCCTCGCTGTTTGGTAACACGATGGACAGCATCCCGGCCTGTGGCCTCACTGCCTGCCTGGGCCTTGCTACTTCATGTCGGGAGCGGTCCAGTCCAGGTTGGACTGCAGCAGCCCACTGCTACTGCCACAGCACCTGCTCTCTCACCAACCTGCAGCACACCCACCCCCAGGCTCTAGCTCAGCTTTAACCAGAGGGAGGGGTTTGCACACCACGCAGGAGGAGATGTGGCTGCAAGACTGGCCAGGGGAGGCGCCTTCCCTTCTCCAGTGCGCCTAGCATGTGACTGCCTTTGAGGCAGCATTCCAGCTGCCTGTGCCCATGCCACCAGCCTCATGGGCATCCGCAGCCAAGGCCAGGCTGAGCTCATGCCCATGTGAGCCGTTCCTGGGCTGCCACCGCTCCCTCCAGAGCAGCACAAAGTGGATGCTCCGTGTACAGAGCTTGCAAAATCCCAAGGCTGCCTGCCTTCTCTGGAAGGAAACGTTGCTGTTTCGTGGAGCACTTCCCACCCGCATTAGTGTAAGTACTGAAGCCGGTCCTTGGCCAATCCTCAGGCTTCACAGGATGGTATTAACAAGGTGGCATTAAAGAACGTGATAACTGGCTGTTGCCTGCACTCCTTCCCCATAGTAAGGAGCCCACGACATCTTTCTTTTAAAGCAAAGGACCTTCTGATAGAGGAAAAACACTTACAAAACAACAGTGTTGGTGGAGACAATGTATTCTACTTCCTTGGTCCAAGGGTTCATGAAACTGAACCAGCGACTCCGTAATGTGATGAAAGAACCATCTTTGATTTTAAACTTATAACAATTAGTTGTTATCTTTTCTCTCGTCTGTAAAACTGAAAATGCAAAGAAATCATGAATGTTGTTGTTTTCTCAGACCAATGTAAAAGGCAAGACGTCCAACACCAAATACTAAGGGCGTCCAAATTCCCATGCCAGCACTTTTTGATAAGCCAAGGGAGTCAAGTCAACACCTCAGGGGACAGTTAGCCACTGGTGGTCTAACTCTGAAATTGTCTATTAATTTGTGAGTCCGTTACTATTTTACAGAGACTAAGGATTCCAGAAATAACTAGCTCTATCCGTTAAAGCTCACTGGAACGGGCTAGAACATCCAGCAAATGAGAGGCATGGTTCAAAGGGCTGTGCTCTTTTTCTTAGTATAGCCTTGATGGACACAGGACCCATAAAGGTCACTCGCCTAGTCAAATACCATTCTTTCATGTACCAGACATGTTATGAACACCTTACATGTGCCAGGCACTGAAGACTGGGGAGGAGAGGAGGTGTGGCTCTTGGTCTCCAAGAGCAGAGTGGGAGAAGATTCTGGAGAGTTGCTGTTGTTGTTAAATGCTGTCAAGCCAAGTACGGATCATAGCAATCCTATGAACAAAAGATCTGAACACTGCTCTGTAACTATTGTTGGTTCTCTAATGTTCATAGACTTTCCAAAGGCATGCCAATCCTGCTTCCAAGCCTAGGGAGAGGCAATCAAATTCTTGCAGGATGAACCAAGTTTGCCAAGGAAAGGAGGAAGGGAGGGAGGGAGGGAAGCACCCAGCAGTGCTGCGAGTGTCTGGGCCCGGTGGGAGGAGATGGCAAGATGGACAGCACAGCTGATACAGGAAGCTTCCAGCAGTAAGCATGGGAGGGAAAGGGAGGAGGTGGGCTGGACTAAAAGGCGGAGGGTTTCAAATGCTTGTGAAAGGTGCGTGGGCTTAAATCTACAAGTAAGAGGTTTTTAAGAAGGACCGTGGCATTGTTGGCTCTGTAGGAGAATAAAAAGATGGACAGCCGTGGAAGATGGACTGAGAGAAGGACCAGAGAGGTTGGGCTAAACTTAACTAGTTCCCTTTTTGACATGGACATCAAAATAACCCTGTTTAACTATCTCTCCATGCCCCAGAACAGCACAGAAAATCTTCACATTTGTAACATTGTCTATAAGGATCCAGGTGAGCAAAGGACCTGAACCAGTATCACAGTAGTGGAGGTGCCAAGAAGGAGAGTTCTTGGAAACGGATGTGTGAGGTGAGCTGATAACTAGGATCCTGGTGAAGATGAATTTAAGGAAGAGGCCGATGATGATTCCTCTTTCGTGAGGCTGCCTATGTGGCCATGTCATCCATCAGTCAAGAAGGGGACAGATACAGGAGACAGTGCAAGTGTTTATGGAATAGAGATCTGTTTGGACCCTAATAAACCTTTCCAGAGTCCAGTTAGATCTTCAGAGCACGAGAAGCCTTCCAGAAGCTGCTCTGGTCTATACATATATAGGGTTAAGGGTTTACTATCCAAAACGACTTCCCTATGCTTGTAGGTGGAAGGGAATATGTGAATAGGCTATTAGCCTATCCACGAGGGGACTGGAGAGTCTAACCAGTCCATAAGAAGACTGGCGAGTCTCACCATTAAATTGAGTGGACCCCAAAACCTCACTGCCAGCAGAAAAGGGCCAAGAGAATATAATGTGTCCTTCAGGACCAGAGAGTCTTATGCCAGACAGACCAGGGCCTACGGGAGCAGCAGCCACAGCAGAGAACCAGAGGCCTGACGTGAGACAGAATGGACCCTGGCTGCTTTGCCAGTGGATCAGGGCTAAGAGCCTTTTGCCCAAGTTTGCTGGAGGACCGAGGGGTCCAGGGAGTGGGGGGAAGAGCCAATATAGGCAAGACTGAGAACTCTGTAACACTGGCGTAAAGCTCCAAGGCTCAAAGCTGAGGCGCCTGCGAGCACATTTTGGAAGCTGTCCTGACTGTATTCTGTTACTAACCTGGATTATAACCTTTTGGCTTTCGCAATATGGCTCCCTATGGTCTGTGAACTAATGTCTTGGATTTTTGACTCAGTAAAGCAGTAAGATTGGTCTTGAGATGAGCAGAAAGAGGTGTGGGAGTGTGGGGGCCATGTCTGACCTCATGGTAATTGGTTTTGTTACTGATGCTGTTGATGGGAACAGTTATTTCCCTTTGTGAAGTTGGTAAAGTCACATATGGCTGTCCCCACATGGTCCTCGCTCTTTTTACAATACAAAAAACTGTCAGGCCGAGGTGAGGCTTCTATATGAGATAATGATCAGAAACAGCAGCTTCCTCTCTTTACAGATACGTTGCTCTGGAGAGTCCTGGGCTGGCTGACTCCCACAGTGCTAAGGCCAGATTTCCCCGAAGTTTACGTGGACTGGTCTAGAACTGGGTGAGGCTTCCTCCTTAGAGCTTAGCCACAGAGCAGCTTACCTTGCCTATGGCATTCAGCAAGATGGCCTATATCATCTTGGTGAAAATATTCGTAACATGATGTGCCTAGAAGTTCTTGTGGTAAATAAGCCAAAATAGCTGTTGCCCTAAAAGAGATTTTTTCAAAAAAGAAAAAGGTGTTAAATAATTAATAGTAATTTTGTGGCAGATGAGCCTGGATACAGCTGATGAGAACAAAGTTCTCATCTCACTGTTTAAAAAAAATTAGAGGGTTTTCAGAGCATTCACATGAGTTTTTTGTATAGCCATCTCAATTTAACCACAGTTATAGAAACGGAAACAAGGGGAAAATAAAAGCCTTTCAAATGGCCTCTTAACACAAGAAATCAAATGTCAGATGTTTTTTAAAGGTCAACATAGTAGTTAGATAAAAATGTGCCAGAAATCTAAACACCTGTGCAAAGCTTCTCTTTTTAATGCTTACTTTCTACCAGGATACTCAACCACCAGTGTTTCCAGGATCCTGAAAAGCATTTAGGGGCTATCTCAGCCTGAGATATTACGGCCTGTGAATATTCTTAAAGAGGATGGAAGGGGGTGGTAAAAAATATTTTTTGTGGTAAAATTTTGGAACTTAAAAAAAAAAAATCTGAGTTTTTAGCACAGTCGGCTCATTATTTGTGAATCCTGGAGGAGATCAGCCCTCAGCTTCCTCATCTCTTAACTTGAGAAGGGGGACGAGAATAGATCAATGTCCAGGAGGGCTTTCCACAATAATGGCAATGCTCTCCACTGGTACTACTAGCCATAAATGCCCCCTGAGTAGTAAACCTCAGGAATGGCATTTTTGTTTATACTTAAGTAGCCCTATCAGGCTATCATAGCCAACAATTACAGTATTGGACAACCCAGCTACATAATCTTTTCCATGCTCTACATTCCAGAACTCGTTAGAGGAACTGCCTTGCAACACTCTAGATTTAGACAGAATGCTGTGCCTACTATTCTTCTTTTAACCATGGACATTAAACGCTCGGCTAATTATTTTTCTGTTTGCCACAAAATGGCAGAAAAAAAATTCCTGTATTTATGATGATATCCTAGTGGAGCTCAGTTTTTTTAGCAGAGACCCAATCACTTCCCTGGTTCTTGACGTATTAAACACACACACACACACACACACACACACACACACACACACAAACATACCCACCCAGATGGCCCATTCTCCTGTGCTCTACTCAGTATTAAAAATCCTCTATTATTACTGCTCAGAGGTAATAAGTAGCCTCTTACCTCTGGTCTACAAAAACAAACTTCCCATCTATTGCATGTCGAGAAACGTATTCCATAGATTTCACCCTGATCTCCCCATTCACTGGCTGTGGAACCACGTGAGAATGCAGTCGTCCGATCGCGACAAGGCAGCTGAGGTTACACCCTTCGTTGTCTGGCTCGTTGTCTTCATCTAGCCCCATCTTTGTGGGTGGCCAGCTTTTCAAATAGCCTGTGCTGTGGATTGTGCAGAAGCTTTTTCGATCTGCTAGAAAGCAAAGTCCATGATGAGTGTCAGTGACAGCTCTGGGGCATGGAGGCTCAGGAAGCTGATGGGAGGCTGCAGCATGGGCAGGGAGTCACAGAAACAGAAAAGAAAGCCTCTCCCCAGACGTGAGCACTTAACGAGAGAAGACAACAGAAAAATCGTTAACTATGAGCCAATGTCGTAAGTGCTCAGGAGAGCTAAGGTATTACAAACACCAGCCCAAAATCAAAACCAAACCCACTGCCCTGGAGTCAGGTAATGGCAACCCTCCATTGGTCTCAAAGCTGTCATCCTTATAGAAGGAGACTATCTATATTTCTCCTGCAAAGGAGTCAATGGATTTGAACCACTGACCTGTCGGTGAACAGCCCAGCATATAATACACTACTACACCACTAGGTATATACTTCTATACACCTAGAAGGACTATAGAAATCTACATGAAGACTGAAAGGTTCATCAGAGAAACAACACAGGAAATAGATCAAGAAGAATCAGCATTTAAGGGCTAAGTCCACGGGAGGGTTGAGAAGACAAAAGCACAGACGTGTAGCCTATGCAGTTAACAGCAAAGAGCTCCATATGGCTGGAAGGAAAAGGAAGATGTTGAGTGGTAGAGCTGGAAAGGCAGGTGAAGGACAGATTACAAGGGCACTGGGTTATTCACTAACAAATGTACTGGTGCTTTTTCAGATAGCAAATGGAGATCTTCCAAGGACATTTAAGTGAGAAACAGCAAAGTCAAATTACTGTCTGGTTGCATCAGGAGCAGAACCATGGGTGAGCTCAAAGAGAGCTGAAGCCAGAGTAGAAAGGATGGGTAAGAGGCTACCGATAATAAGATCTGGTGAGGGGTGAACTACAGTCGTTCAGTAAAAGAGGAGAGAAGGCAAAGGAAGGAAACAGGAGAAATGTCTGAGATAGCACTGCCAGGATTTCGTATGTATACTGGACTTAAGGGAAAGAAATGGAATGAAGATGACTCCACCTACTCTAGCTTTAGTGTTATCCAACAGACAGAAGACAAGACAGAGGAACGATTTCCATCTGAGATACAAAAAGCATGTAGGAACTCTGGGCTTTCATCACAAACCAGCTCTTACAGAATGTTTCCCAAGCACTGAGTTCTGTCTATGTTGGCTAGTGGAACAGAGAGGGAAATACATCAGCCACACCTCATGGAGTTTACTGCCTACTGGGGACGGAGACTTTAACATCATCACAAATAACTAGATAGCCACAACTGTAAGAAAGTGCTAGAAACAAAATGTGTGGAGTGCTGCAGAGAGATAAAAGGCAGCCTGAGGGAGTGAGGGATACGGATGCCAAACTCTAACAATGAGTCAGGAGTGGGGGGAACAAGGAGATAGAGGCAGACTCAATGGGTGTGGGGCAGGCTCAATGGACGTGGGGCAGCCTAGGGTGGAAAGGGAGCTGGGGATCAAAAGAAGGTAAACTCGGCTCAGCACTCGGCAGCAGAAAGAGCCCTGTGCAACTTGTGCTCCGGATTCTAAACTCTCCTTCAAGAGGAACAGGAAACATGAAAGGATTTTGACTAGGGCACTGAGAAATAGATTTGACTTTCAAAAGTTCATTCCGTCTGCTGTGTAGAAGAGTGAAGGTATGAGGACCAGGCCTGTGACGGCTGATCAGTGACAGCATAGAAGAGGACAGGGATACACATATTTTAGATTAACTTCTGTGGGTGCACATCACTGCGGCAGGATTCCTAACAGACTGGATGAGGAGTAGAAAGGGGAAGATGGGGACTAAAGGTGGCTCCTAAGATTCTAGTATCAGTCACTTAGGTTCAAGGAGAAGCTCAAGGGGTCACTTGTACATGTGTCATATTTGAGATGCCCTTGATCAAGTCAACAGGTAGCTTTAATAAGCTGATTTATTTACCAAGAGTTCAAAAGAGAAGTCTAGGCTATAAATATAAGCGTGCATGTTACTGGCACATAAATGTCATTTAGAGCTAAGTGAATGGATGATGGTATTGCCGATGGACAGAGTATAGGAAGAGTAGAGAAGCCAAGTTAGGACAGAAGATCTGAGCTGAGAGTATTCCTCCCCTGCCACATTAAAATAAATAGGCTTTAGAAAGCGGAACCTTCCCCATAAATCTCTGTCATCATGGGAAGACAGCAAGGATTCTATGCTCCTTAACTGCCCTTCAGCAGTAAAGGGTCCTGAGTGCAAGTCCTGGGACCTACTGCTCCAGCAGCTAGTGACCTCCAAACCAACACACTGCAGAGGGCAACACTGGAGAGACAGCCTTGGCTGCGAAAGGATTGCAAAGCACTGTGAAGCTGTTACCTTTTTTCTTAGAGCAGGTGGAGGGGAAGTCCTTGTCTTCGACCTTTACTGAAGGCCTGTTACACTTCATCCTACAGAAGAAAGAACGCCGTGCTCCAGAACATAACCGAGATGGCCCAGGGGTTATATCTGTTTTAACTGGAAGTCCAGCTGCAAATCAACACACAAAATGTGATAAACCGAGAGCAGTGGTGTCTGTCAGCAGGGGTGTGTGACCTTGAAAAAGCCTTTTCTCTCCTGCCTCACTGTTTCACATTGACAGTGTGACAGTAAAATTTCTCCCTAGGTAAGGACTTAAAAGGCATGATGAGAAGGGAGAGCTCTGGTGGTGCAGTGTGTAACGTGTTGTGTGATGTTAACCAAAAGCTGTGATGTGGAGAAGTGTGTTGTCAGTGCAAAAATGCTTATAAATCATGTGTAATGCAGGCACAGAAAGCGCAGACGAGGTGCTGAGAAGGATAAAAAGAAATGGAGCATTTGACAAGAGAGGCTTCCATCTGAGGAAGGGAAAGAAAAGGCACCAAGGGAGGATTAAGAACACGGATGGTCTATGATTTAAAACCAGCTGCCATTAATTCTGACTCCTGGCATGTGCATCAGAATAGAAATGTGCTCCACAAGATTTTCAAAGGCTTAGTCTTTGATAAGATCTCACTAGGAAGTTCTCCACTTTCTGAAGTGCCTCTGAGCAGATTCAATCTATCAACCTTTTGTTTAGCAGCTCAATATGTTAACTATATGGATTAAGTATGATTGTTGTTGTGTACAGTCAAGTTGGACTTGACTCATAGCTGACTCTAGCGGGTTTTCCAAGGCAGTGTAATCACACAGGAAGAGACTGCCTGACTTTCTTCTGTGGAGCAGATGGCACACTTGAACTGTGTGCTCTCAGGTTGGCAGCGCAGCTCCTGATCATTAAGCCACCAGAGCTCCCTCATGGACGATTAGTGCCAAATAAGTGGTAAAGATAATCTGTGCTTTTCAGAGGAGGAAAGTGTGATAATAGCTGGGCTCTCAGAGAAAGCTTCCCACAGGAGGAAGCCCCTGGGTAAGACCCAAGGGAGGGCAAGCTTTGAATACTAGGATGGAGAGGAGGAAGCAGCTCTGCCTTCAGTTCTCACCCTGGCCTGTGACGGACAGATCGTGAGACCCCTGTGCTGCACAGCACTGTCCACTGTGGTTGCTGTAACGACAGGCTATTGTGCTTCTGAGTAATGGCTGCTCCAGACTAAGATGGATTGTGGGAACCACACACTGGATTTCAAAGATTTCACAGATCTGTTTTTATGGTTAGCAGTATGGTTTTATGCATTATGTTCCAGAACAACACAATGCATTAAGTTTGAATCTCTGGAGGGGGAGCTCGAGTCTGCTGAAAACTCCCCAGGTGATGGGGATGTGCCTTAAAGATGAAGACACTGGCTGTGTGCCAGCACGGACGCTGAGGGCTCTGAATCACATCTGGGGAAGAGGGCACCCTGGTGAACATCGCTGGAGAAACTTTCCACTTTACAAAGGGAGGATTGCTCACTGGCCTCACTCTCTCCCAGCTCCCTCCCACGCCACCTCAGTGATCATCCCTGGGATGCCAATCCAGGCCTGCCCACCGGCTCAGAGCCCTTCTGTGTCCCCCAGAGGAAAGGGGCTTTGTGTCCAGCCCCCACTGCCTGGACATTTTGCTCCACACCCCTGCATCATCCACAAATTATTTCCTTTGCTCATTTCCTCTAACACCTGGCAAAAATGAATTCCATTTTTCCAACCCACCTCAGTTGTCACCTACTTTGTGATGTCTTCCCGTGCAACCACATGAAAATGAATCACTCCTCTCTGTGCTCAGCACCGTTTCTATGACTGCACTTACTAGCTAGGGGGCTGTCAGCTTGTCTCCAGGTCTCTATGGTATCAGCTGTGAAGGCTGATACTCTTTTCTCATTAGGGCACTGAAAAATTCCAGGATGCCATGGAGTGGAACTCATGTGTACAGAATGGAGTTGCTCCAGTGTTTTCAGGGTGGTGGCCTTTCAGAAGCGAACTGCTAGGCCTGCCTCTGAGAAGCTTTGAACTGCCAACCTTTCAGATAGCTAGTGGTTAAGCTCTTAACCATCTGTACCGACTAGGGATTCCTTGAGCAAAATCATCTACAAAAGCCCAAAGCCTATACGAGCTCATCATGTTTTTATATTTTAAAAAAATGTACATTATAATGTCTCTTTTTGAAAACTACCTAGCCCTCTCTCATGTTAGTTTCCTGTGGGTACTATGAGACTTAAACGCTTGTGCACATTATCTACCTGGGTGCCATGTATGTAAAAAAGGTCACAGGAAGTAGCAAATAAAACTAAATAATCATAGTGGTGACCAGGGTGGCAGGGGGAGCATCTAGGGAGTGGTTGCTTAGGGGGCCCTGATTTTATGTTAATGGCAGCAGAATAATTTGGAAAAGGATAGTGAAGACAGACAAAAGGAAGCCAACATCTGGAATTAATACATGTAGGAACTGTTGAATTGGTGTATGTTTTGTCGTGTATATTTTTATTACAGAAAAAATGAAAACAATATACCCAAATCTGGGAGGGGGAAAAAAAAAAATTCCAGGGCTAGTCTCTAAAGGTTAACAGGCACCAGGGGAAGAGGGTTGTCGTAGTGAAAAGGATGTTTTAAATGAGATTATTCTGGTGATACAGCCCTCCAGGGATTGAATGAAAGTCTTGGAAACAGGATATTAGTTAGACCACAACCTGTACCAGGTCAATGGGAACACATCCATCAGTCAACACTGATGTCGTGTGCACTGTGTCCCAGGTGCTTTATGTACACTAACAGTAACCCAGTAAAAAAGATACTATTTTGCAGATAAATATACTGAGGCACAGAGAGGTTAAGTAACTTGCCCAAGGTCACACAGCTAATAAATAGCAGAGCCAGGATTTGATACCCAGCAGTCTGGCACCAGATTTCATATTCCCAAGTGCCGTAGTGCACAGCCTCTCATGAGACAGAAGAGGAGAGCTGCTAGGGACCTTGCAAAGACCAAGACAGGCTACAGGAGGAGAAAGCCAGGGCACAATATGACCGTAAGAGGGAGCCAATCTAAAAGGGAACTATTTTAGTTAAGGGAACATCACAGTCTTATAGTTAAAGTGCTCTTCCTTTATTCTACAAGGTTTCATGTGTGTGACACTGATACACACAGGTGATGAAGCTACTGTGAGGCAACCACTCAAACTAGGTTGAGCCCTTTGAACTCAGGAGCATAGATTCTGAAACAAAAATGACTAAACATAAAAAAAGAATCAAACCAAAATTACTCTTCTTCCCTTCAATAAATTTGGAAATGGAATTTCTTTCTTCCTTATGTAAAACAAAACACTAAAGGGTATCAGAAATTAGTGCATAATGTGGGAAAGACTGAAGAGTATTATAATGAGTGAACTAACTCAGTCTCATAAGGACAAATACTGCATAAGACCATTAAAAAAATAGAAGGATAACTAGTAAAATGTGTATGGGGATCCAAGAGGGGAAGGGGTGGGAGTAGAGGGGTGAGAATGGGCAGGGCCACACAATTTTATCATAGGGTTGCACAATTTGGTAGGAGGAAGGAGGGGGAATACAGGAAAAGGGAAAGATCGGCAGTGATCTGGAAAGACAAGGTGGACATAGTTCAATGATGATTAATTTTATAAAACTTAATAAATGGGAATGCTTGTATGAAACACAATGTGCATGAAGGATAGTGTGAAACAATGTATATGAACTTGGAAAGCAAACTAATAATAAAAAAATAGAACATTTAAAAAAAAGGGTATCAATAATTCACTTAGAGAAATGTAGCACTGGTGACTGAGTTAAAGGCAGGAAGGTAGACATCTCCCAGTTGAGACTCACAGCCCTTCCATCTGCTCCTCACACAGTGTGGCCACAGGAGGCTGTGCCTGTGTGCATGCGGCAGGGGAAACCACAGGCGCCTTCTCCTGTACTCACTTTTTGCATCTATGAGCCGCTCCCGGGGTGCAGTGTCAGAAGAGGAGAGCTGCTCCTTGACTTTGGCAATATCTTTAGGATGCAGGTAGTCGAACAAACTCTGACCAATCAGGTCATTCTGTGGGGATGAAACGTTAGAAATGAAAAGGAAACAGCATGTGGGATATAAATTATTCAACAAGTACATCTTTTTGCTTTTCTTTCATATTTTTAAGCATGATCATGTCAAATTTGAACACATACATATGTCCAACCACTTTGCCTTGATATAGACACACTGAATGAGGCAGAAGGAAGTTGATTTTGATAACCCATGGACAAAAAGAGAGGGGCTCATTTATAGAAATAGTTTCTGCTCTTCTAAGGCAAGAATATCTTGGCTGTACATATTCCTTTTTATTTATTTCTGCTAACCACCCCCCCCCCCGAAAAAAAATCCCAAGAGCTCAGAAGGAGGAATAGAGAGCGTGGGCTCAGATTCTAGCTCCACCATTAAGCCTCTGTTCTTAAGCAAGTCACGTCATTACTCTATGTCTCAGTCACTCTGCCTGTCAACAGAGAGAATGAAAACTTCCTCCCCATCTCTGTTCTGAGACTGAAAAGAGCAAAATACCTTGGAAAAGTGAAATGCGACATTAGTTCTATCCTCTACAAATGCTATTTTGGATCCTCAGTTCCATCTACCAAGCTTCCGTGTAAATACCAAGGTGTAAATGACTGAAAACTTGGGAGATGACAGGTTTTTCACTGTGCCATAGAAGCTTCTCTAAATGCCCACCCTGTTTGATCCTACATACAATCATAACAGGTAGAGATTATTACCATCACTTAAGAGCAGACTGAGGTTGAACAGAGATGAATGACTTGCTTAAAATCACCAGCTGTTTAGTGACACTTCACTGCAAGAACAGTATGGTGTGGATTCCCATCTTCCTTACTTTCTACTCTTGGATTATCAACCCACTATTATCCCTTATTTATAAGGTCACTATGACTCAATGGCACGTAACAACAGTTCTCCCTTGTCACATAGCCTCCTGGCCTTCACTTCCAATCTAGTTGTAAAATATTTACTTTGCAGCATTAACAAAGCTATAAAGCTATTGCTCAGACAGTCAGTTCATCCAATGGGGTAGGAAGCATTGGGAGGGACATAATAAAATCTTTCTCCACATTAACTTCTTAGCAAAGTTAAGACATCTCTAGAAGAATAATTTAGGGAAGAAAAGCATGATGTGCATCTACAAAATGTGACCTGCACACTGTCATTAGCCTGAAAAATGGAGTGACATTTCTGCGGAGGACTGTCCACCAGTAAGAGCTTAGGAATGCAAAAAAAATACCTGGCTGTAGTTGAGGATCTTAAAGACAGACTCTGAGACAAATAGAATCTTCCCTCGGTCACATCCTACGACAAACAAAAATCCATCTGCTGCCTAATTAGGAGAAATGTAGAATCAATTTATCATACTTTAGAAAACATCATTTGCAACCACTCTGACAGCAAATCAAGGATTTGTTTTCTAGGTACCCAAAGGAACTTTAATCGGCTGTTTAACTAATAACCTGAGAACAGGATGCATAAAGTAAATCCCTAAGAGTATAATGACGTTATCTCTAAGGCAGTTTGAAATACTACACACACACACTCACTCTTTGTCTCATAGCATGTTAAGTACAATTAAAGAAAATTCTATTTCAAAGTACAATCCTGACTAAATAATTCTTTTACTTGTATGATGGTCCAGAGGAATCATATCTTGTTGATATAATTCTCAGAAGAAACATAGAATGAATATGTTGAATGGCATTTTTAAGATTGGAATCATCTCAGTTACTCTGGCATTATCTGTTCTCGACTTAAACACCTCTATTTAAAGGGAGCCCTCTAGGACAATGGTTCTCAACATCTGAAGTGTTTTGCTTTGTCTTCTAAATGCTGTTGCTCTGCCCCCTAGTGGGGACTCTCGCTTAATTGGTCTGAATGGAGCTGGATCACTGGCAGGTTAAGAGGAGCCCTGGTAGTATATAGGGTTTTATGTTGGGCTGCTAACAGAAAGGTTAGCAGATCAAATCCACAGCCACTCTGTGGTAGAAAAATGAGACAATCTATTCCCAGTAAGGTTTATGTCTTTGAAGCCAATGAAAGGTGACCACGAGTCTAAATCGACTCATCAGCAGTGAACTCCCTTCAGGTGATTTGAACGTGTTCGGGGGTTGAAAACCATTGCTCTCACATATCTTTTGATCAAGGGCTGAGTTGTGTGTATTTTAAGTGAGATAAGAAAAGCAAAACTCACTTTCAACCTTGGCTGCTTCTTACCCTTTCTTCACTTCAAAGACAAGTAAAATGTAAAGTTCCAATAAAGATGGCTACAAGACAATGTTTGAAGCAGGTGTACACCACAGCTTTAGAATTTGACAGCCTAGAATGACTTGTCTGCCTGTGTAAGAATCCCAGGCACAAGTATTGGGATGGATAACAATTTGGCTCCAGCTGGAATACTTCCTGTTGCAAAGAGCATGCCCTTTCAACACATACCTGCTCTTATGACTCTGTCCCTGTGGTTCTAATACTATGCATGGGTCCACATCTCACCGGATTCATTACTTCTTAATCTTTGGAAGACTGCAGAGGAAATTCTACTCTACAAAAAGGCCTTGGGAATGTACATTAATTCAAAGAACTAGGAAATGAATCCCTGGGCTGGAAAGAAAAAGAAGGGCATGTGCAATGGCCTGGATAAAAGAAGAAAGCGAGAGGGAAACAGCCTCACTACTGCTAAAAGAGAGCAGAGCAGGCCACCTAGCCAGAAGGAAAGACGGAAGTTAGGAACGAGCCTTTCCCAAGTTAGGTCCCTAAGCCGGCCCAGGGGCAAGGGATGACAGTGAGGGGGAAGCAGCTTTCCAAACACCATCTGCTGGAACCCTCTTTCTGTCAAAAAATAGGGTATTAATAACTTCCTCACTTGCCTCGCAGACTGTCTTATATTTAACAAGAGAAGTATTTTGAGATTCTTCATTGGTTTTGTGCATGGCATGAAAGGCTCCTTGGAAAGGGTACCCATGACATTCTGGAAGGAATACTAAGAAGGAGGCAAACTGGACAGGCTCAGGCATAAAACGAGGACACGGTCAAAGAGGATTTCAACACATCCAGAGGAAAGACAGAGGGATGCAGAGTCCAGAGAACATGGCCAATGCCAGGGAGGCATTCAATATTCTGATTCTTTGCTCAGCAAATAACTTATCAGGTGATGGAGCCAGGGCCGAGGTAGATGGCTGAAAAGCAGAGGCTGTAAGAACTCAGTACCACGGAGCCACCAGGAAGACATGGCAGAGAAGAGACACAGTGTCACCAACAGATTATCACTGTTGCTAAGTGAAGTGCACTAGTGGAAAGGCCAACCTCAGGATCAAATATTAAGCTCAAAGAGCATCCAAATCCTAGTTTCACACCAATAAATGTTGTCACTGAACAAAAACAATTATTTAGAAAAGCAGCAACATGAAAATGATTCAAATATTTGTTGATGCTTTTAAAAAAAATCTAATTGCTAGTATAGTAACCAGGAATGGAGTCATTGAGTGATACAAATGCTTAACATACTCAGCAGTTAACTGAAAATTTGGAGGCTGAGTCCACCCACAGGCACACAGCCTGGGGATCAACTTCCAAATTCAGCTGGTGAACTCTCTAGGATGCAGTTCTGCTCTGACACACTAGAGGTCACTGGGAGACAAAATCGACTCAGTGGTAACTAGGAGAAAAGAGGAGGGGGAAAAAAAAAAGCTAGGCCTGGCTACAATATTTATAATTCCAATGAAAAATGAAAATCCAGGGATCCCTATTAAAAAATGATTAAGAATTTTTAAGATGGTAACACGCAACTGTTAAATGAAGCACAATGATCCGAGCACAGCCCTGCACACTGGCTGCATTTCCAGGAAGCCTGCCCCATGGCAGCCCCAAGGATGGAGTAGTACTTTAACTACAACTATCTGTTAGGGATCTCTCCAAAGTAATGAAGAGCAATGGTGTCACTCTAGAGACTAAGGTGCATCTGATACAGGCCACGGTCTTTGCAATCACTTATTATGCATCAGAGAGTTGGACAATGATTAGGAAGGATAGAAGGAGAATTGAAGCCTTTGAGCTGTGGTGCTGGAGAAGGGTACTGAATGTACCATGGACTGCCAAGAAAACAAACAGATTCATCCAGGAGAGGGTTAAACCAAGCTGCTCCTTGAAGGCAAGGATTCTGAGGCTTCATCTGACATACTTTGGACATGCTATAAGGAGAGACCAGTCCTTGGAGAGGGACATCATGCTTGGGAGGGTGGAGGGACAGCACAGAAGGGGAAAACCCTCTATGAGGTGGACTGATTCAGTGACTGGGGTAATCAGGATGGGAATGTCAGAGACAGTGCGACTGGCACAGGATAGAGCAGAGTTTAGGGCTGTTGTACATAGGGTCGCTATGAGTCACGACTCAAGGGCACATAACAACAACATCTTACACATGCATCTTAATTACAGCCACTCCTCCCTGAGGACAGTGGTGTGTTCACTAAAACGTTGAAAAGGTGAAGGCAGATCTGAGTATCTGAATAACTGAATAATAGCAACTATTCAGGCTGAGGGGGAAAAAACCCCAATTTATCTAGTGAGGTGCCCAAAGGAAGCATTTATAAGAGCGTCAATAACAAGGGAGGAATCAGTCCCATTCAACCAGGGCAGCCAGACCATAGCTGCAGCATCAACTGGGCTGAAAGAGCCGTTTCTGGAGGGAAATTTAGCAAAGTAATGTGCCCTCTGAAAGTGTATGTGACAAATACTGTTGGCTGGACCAGACAGGGCTTATTCCTCAGCCTCTTCTCTCCTGTCTGTTCCCACTATGAGAATGGCAAAATGAAATGCTTGCTTATGCAACCTGCCTGCAGCTAGGGGGATGGAGGTGACACACTTCTGAAAAAGTTTACATCTACTATTGGGCTTCCAGGAAAATGCATAAAAGGGATACTGCTCTGGAGCTTTTGCTACTTTACCCCCCCTACCCCCAAGCCCCCGCCTGGCCTGGTTACCCAGACCTGACACAGTCATCTTGCTATTTTGAGGAAACAAATAACAAATCAACATACTAAGTGAGGATGGTGGTAAGAGAAGTCAGAAAGAATCCCGAGCTCTGCTGACCTCAATAGCCACCGGACCCACCCAGCTCAGTCTTAAGCCTCAGGACTTGCTATACTTGAGAAACAGAACTTTGCTTCTTTATCACGTCTCTTATTCTCTGCAGCTGAGAGCTTCCCAATTTAATATATCCTGCTGATCAGAAAGGGCTGGGCAAAAAATACTGTAGGGTGGAAGAAGCAAGACTTCTGGAGATTATGAAAATGGGTAGTGATGAGGTAAACTCCAACTGCACTATGCTCTATCTTTGTAAATTCATGCTCAGAGAAGAGGCCAAGATTCTGTGGGGGGCTGAGCAAGTGACAAGAGCCCAGGAGGGGGCAGTGAGCATCTTTCCTTTGAGTTACTACTCTGTGTATATCTGACTTTTTAAAACATCTTGCTCCTTCTGTTTTAAAGTCCATCAACCCAGGCCTTCAGGTTTTGCCCAAGAAAAGTTAGAAAAGGAGAAAAGCCAAGGGCAGGACTCTGAAGGCCATCCCAATGTTATGACAAAAGGGGTTCTAGGAAGAGGAAACAAGGCCTATAAAGTTCCATGTAGCGACATCAAATGCCCACATATCTGTAATTATTTTTTAAGTTTATAAAAAATAAGTACTGTGTAAAACAATCCCATTATTGCAACGTACCCTGAGAATGAGGTGTTTCAATTCATCATCTGACAGAAACGTTGGTTTGTAGTTTGCTTCTGTGTATGGATTGGTGGCACCTTAAGAGGAAACAAAGAAGACAATGCTGTACACTTGCTATTCAGATAAGGTCTCATATACTTTACTGCATCACACCTGACGGATGAGGTCAAGTCTCTTCCAGCTGGGACTTAAATGTCCTCTTCTTTTCCCTTAACTGTGGTAAGACTTTGGACAGACTCCAGGAATGGAGAAAAGAATCCCATTGGAAGAGAATGCTGTTGTCCACAGCAGCTGCAATACATTGGCTTTTCTCATTTATACGGGAAACCAGGAGACAAATGAACCACGTTAAACATCTTCTGCCTCGAAGACAAAATACAGCTCTAGAAGTGGCTCTGGCAGTGGCTTCTGGGAGGATGCCCTCCTCCTAAGATCTCTATTAAATGGGTTGTCTAGCAGTCCCTCAAATCACCACTTTAAGTGTTCTTGGGAAATCATCCAGTCTGCCAGGCCCTGAGTAAATATACTGTGGAAGGCATGCAATGTGAGTTCCTCTTTATTGGGGGTGAGTTAAGTGAGCTTGGCAACCCGGCCAAATGCATTACTTCAGTAAATGCAGCTCCGGCTCCCAGAACTAAAAGAGGATAAGACGTCTATTTAAAAGGCCATCAGTCTGGCAACTTTGAGGAGAACAATAACTTAACCAAGAAAAATGTCAGTGGTAAGTGACTTGGAATCTGCAAAGTGGTTAGCAGAAGGATGAAAACATAAAATGAAACCAATCCAAAGCAATTCAAAGTCCCAAGGGGAAGGAGGTAAATAGAATGTGTTTATAACTTTCAGATCAACCAACTGGGCAAGGATTATTGATCCACACCCCTGCTCTTTTTTATAGCTTAAGAATTGCCATGCTATTCCTTCTAATTTCATAGAAACCAGTTAATAATAAGGAGCTTGGGGTAAAGTCTGTAGAATGTTGTGCTGTTAATCAAAAGGTTAATTCCAGTGGTTCAAATCCACTAGCAGCTCTGAGGGAGAAAAATGAGCAGTCTTCTCTTGCTAAGATTTATAAGCTGAGCTCCGGTGGCCCAGGGTTAAGGAGCTGTGCTGCCAATGCAAAGACACACAGTTCAAATCCACTTGTTGCTCCATGAGAGGATGGACAATCTTCTCCCACGCAATTTACTGCCCCTGAAAATCTGCTGGACGGTATGCAGTGAGTCATTCATGACTCAATGGTAAATAACAACAGAGTTGGAATTATCAATATCAGTGGGATTTAGTTAAATGATAATCCAGCCCCTATCACCTTCACTAATGTCAAATTTTAAACTCACCCTCCAAGCACATGACTACTATTTATTTCTGAGTAATAGTCAAAAGTTGGGGGTGGGGGGAATCTACTTCTTATTTCTGATGGCTTTGTGAAATAGATGCAATTTTCCTTTTTACCACACAGGTCAGAGATTTGCGTGGCCAGTTTCCAGTTGCCTTAAATAGTCCAACACTAGCTGTGGAAAATTCCAGGAACAGGATTCACTAAAATGCCCAATATATTTCAGATTTCTGCAGTGGTTTGGATAAGTCACTTCTACTTTTCTGCCTCTATTTTCTCACCCTCTCCACAATTATAAAAGCAGGAAAATACTGTCTTTCTCATACACACACACACACACAAAAGAGAGGGGGGAAAATCTGGTTTGGGAAAATTCCAGGAAGATGTTCATTCCTGACAATAAAATGCAGTAAGAACCATCAACCAGTGACTCACTCTTCAGAGAAATCATGATGACTTTTCCTCTTAACAACCAAAATTGACTTTTTTTGGTGTTGCTTTGTGCACCTACGTTTCTGATTTTCATAACTGTGCGGGTGAGATCCAGACACATATGCAAGATAGGGCTTCAGCAGTGCCCTCTCAGCTCTGCATTTAGCTCAACGATTTGCACAAACAGAGAAACTCAAATGACATAGCTGGAGGGTGGATGGCTATGAAACTGCATCTCAATATCCATGTAAACTCAATAATCACTTCATTTGGTATCCCGTTTGTTGCTGAAAATCACTTGCATAGTTCCCTGGGCTACACATTCACATGTGATAAACCTTTGCCCTGGAGATTCAAGAATGCTGTGGCTAAGGACAGAAAGGGCACTGAAGACCAGAGTCTCACCTCTTAACGTTTTCATGTGCTGAACAGCCATCCTGAGCACAGTAAGTTTATCTAGTTTCCTGGACATTGCATTGCATGTTGGTACCAAGGAAGCCAATTCATCAATAAAACTGTTCATTTTATCCCGGCGTCTCTTTTCAATCTGACTGTGAGCTTCCCTGAGCAACAGTAGGAAGAAAAAAAAATCTTACAAAATATAGTCAAGCATCAAAGAAAACAATGACAAACAAAGATAAATATGCTTTTTCTCTTTTCAGTATTCATCAAAGCAAATTAAGAATTTACAGGTTTCCAATTAGATTATTCTACTAACGTCTCTCTCTCTCTCTCACACACACACACACACACACACACACACACACACACACAAAGTGGTCCCACTTCCAGACTAGGATTGGCTTCTGTATGTTTACCCTGTCCTTAAAATTAAGAAGAAATATTACAAAGAAAGGTGACCCAACAGAGTGTGGAAATTATTGAACAAGATCAGTGATATCACATGCAAGCAAGATTCTGCTGAAGATTATCCAAAAACAACTTTGATACTGCCAGAAATGCAGGCTGGCTTTAGAAGGGGTCATGGTACTAGGGATATTGTGCTAATGTTAAATGGATCTTGGCTGAAAGCAGGGAGTACCAGAGGAATGTCTATTTATGTTTCATTGATTATATAAAGGCGTTTGACTGTGTGTATCATAACAAACTGTGGCTGACTGTGAGAAGAATGGGAATTCCAGAACACTTGACTGTGGTAATGTGAAACCTATACTTGGACCAGGAGGCAGTCGTCAGAACAGAGCAAGGAAACACTGCATGGTTCAAAATTGGGAAGGGTGTATGCCAGGGATGTGTCCTTTCTCCATATTTTTTCAATCTATATGAAGAACAGATTATCTGGGAGGCTGGGTTGAGGAGAAGTGTGGCATCAGGATTGGTGGAAGGTCCATCAACAATCCATTAACAATCTGCGTTCTGCAGATTGACACAACCCTGCTTGCTGAAACTGAGGAGTATGTGAAGTGCTTGATGCAGAAGGTCAAGGACTGCAGCCTTCAATATAGATTGAGGCTCAAGATCAAGAAAACAAATATTTTCACCACTGGGCCAATTGGCAACATCAGGATGGAAGGTGAAGAGATTGAGATTGTTCACAGCTTTAGTTTGCTTGACTCTGCAGTCAACACTCTTGGCACCAGCAGTCAGAAAATGAAAAGACGTATTGTGATGGCAAAGTCTGCTATTAGGGACCTCTCCAAAGCACTGAAGAGCAATGGTGTCACTCTGGAGATTAAGGTGTGCCTGATACAGGCCATGGTCTTTGCAATCACTTGTTACGCGTCAGAGAGTTGGACAATGACTAGGGAGAATAGAAGGAGAATTGATGCCTTTCAGCTGTGGTGCTGGAGAGGAGTATTGAATATAACAAGGACCGCTAAGAAAATGAACAGGCTCATCCTTTTGTTGTTGTTGTTGTTATGTGCCACTGAGTCACCTGCGACTCATAGCAACTCTATGTACAATAGCCCTAAACTCTGTCCTATGCTGTGCTAATGTCACTGTCCCTGAAACACCTACCCCCATTACCCCAGTCAGGTTCTTCCTTGAGAAGGTTAAACCAGGCTGCTCCTTGGAGGCAAAGATTCTGAAGCTTCATCTGACATACTCTGGACATGTTGCAAGGAGAGATCAGTCCTTGGAGAGGGATGTCATGCCTAAGCATGGAGCGGGGGAGGACAGTGCAGGAGAGAAATCCCTGAGCTAGGTCTCCTACAGAGGGTCCTGAGTCAGGAGAGAGTTCATTAAAACTTGGGGGATGATGATTTAGCCTTGGACTATTCTCTGTTGCCCCCAAAGTTAAACATGCTTAGCAAAGAGTAGAAGCTAATTTAGCCCAGAGAAGGGCGGGGGCAGAAAGCCACATTAAATGATGGTCCATATAATTTCTCTCTTATTCCCTTCTTTAGGACATGACATTACACAAAAGAATTCTTAGACATACAGAGACCAGACATGCGGAGTTTCCTCCACAGCCCTCTATGCAATCATGATCGGGCTACTGCAGAGAAACTGAAGCTACACATTTACCTTGCATTTTTTATCCTTCCTTGGTGCTCTGTGTATTCTAACCTGGAAAGAAAAAGGGAAAAAAAATAAAAACACAATCTCCTGTATATTAATGGCAAAATAATTCATACCTCACTTTCCTCCATTCACTTATCTCTCTACAGACACACGGGGAGTGGGGGTTAGGGAGAGTGTCCTGAGCCCCAAGCTCAAAGCCTCTTTGTTTATCCTCAGTTAAGGACATTGATGAGACCACCCCAAGCAACAGAATGTGACATCATGCCAAGAAAATGGTTCTAAGGACCATGAAGTCCCAATTACTAAGGACACACAGGTACCTTCCATGAGGGTCATCTTTGTCTGTGTCCATGCTTTCTCTGAAAAAGAAGAAAAAAAAAACACCAACAACACCAAGACAACATGACAGTGTGTTAATAAGTCAGGAAGAATAGCTTCTTATCATAAAACTGAAGGTTCTCATTTATCCAGAAACCAATCAACTAGAAAGTGCAAATGGCCTCAAGATTATAATGGCACAAAAATGTTTAAAACAGAAAGGAATGTTCAATAACTGACATAAAACCCTCATTAGGTTCCAGATTATCAAACAGAAGTATTCAAATAATAATAATGATGATGCCACACTGTGCTATCATTCTGGATAAATGCAGCATATCCCATTTGCAAAACAGAGCAGGCATCAAGTAAATGTGTGCATCTGCAGCTGTTTGGTGAGGGGAGTGAAGTGAGGAGTGGGAAGTCAAGGCAGCAACCCAGAAAGTCCTGAGCAGAAGGGGCCCTGAGGCAGCTTTGCAAAAGGCACTGTAGCAAAGGTCTGGTTCCCAGCTGAGAGGGGCGTTCTGGACTTGAGGATTTGGGATAAAAGGGAGTGGTGTGGGGTCGGGGGGTGCAAGAGGGGTGTGGAGTTCTGTTGAGCTCTAAGGGTCGTGGGAGAACAGCAAGGATCTGCCTCCCTTTCATAGACCCCAGAGTTCAAGTTTCATGACATTTTGGGGTTCAGTAGAAACTTGATACATCCCTCACAGGGAACTTGAAGTTGGCTCAGTCTTCCCTCCAGCCCTGAAATCAGGTAGGAGCTGACAGCTAATTCAGTCTCTCCTTTTTTCTCTTTCACCCCAAAAGAAAGGCTGGATTATGACTCCCTAAAATAATGTAATCTCAAGGATAAAAAGAAGTAAATCACATCATGGACATTTTATTTCTAACTAGGACCCTGGATTTCCAGAAGGGCAGGGAGTTCTAAAGCTGGTCCTCAGGTTCAGAGGAAGTCATACAGGTAACATGGACCAACAAGCCTTCCCTGGGCACCCCATCCCCACTGTCTTTTGTCTTGAATTTTATTTGCTCCTATGAGGCTAGGCTGATCATGTCAGGTGAACAGCAGTTCGCTTGGCAGTTACATACGATTTTAGGGTATTAAAATAGTAGGGAAAGGAGATATGGTTACTTTGTATCATCTCCACAAATTAAAGGTTTGCAAACTGGGATGCATGAGGAAAGCCTGAGGGTCTCGGGTGGTGACAAGGCTGGAAGCCACAGATCTACATACAGAGCATGACAGAGGCTCCAACATCACTTTCCCAACACAAGGGGCTCAGAGAAAACACCAAGTGGTCTTCCTGTTGGAAAGCTGTGACTACACCCAACACCCTCATGATTGGTCCTCACACCCTCTCCATCCCCTGGGTGGGTGCTCTCTGGGAAAACTTACATATTAATCATAGCATCTCCTAGTGGGCATCTGACCTCCAGCCACTGTGCTCCCCATATTCGACCTGTGAACTTCAGCAGAAAGGACATCTGCTGTAGGGGGTGATACCTCCTGGGAGATTTTCCCTCATTAAACAACAGAGAACCTCTTAAATGGACATTTGGGTAAGATTCTGCATAGTTGCCTCAACAAAAATTAAATGTGCCTTTAAATATTCTAAGCTGCCTTATTTTTCAGGTGTTTATATATAGAGAGAGGAGTTGACTATAAGTGTGAAAATTTACTTACTCAAAATAAAAGTCATCAAGTCTAAAAAGAAACAAAAATACTATTTAATATAACAAATACATACTGATTTAAATTATGTTCAAGGACAACATCAATGTTCCTATACTGTTTTCAGAGACAATCTCCACTCATTCATTCACTGCACAGGCATTAATTCAGCACCTGATATGTGCTGTCTTTATCAGAGAGGTCCTCATATTACACACACAGCCTTAGTCTTTTTGCTCAAAGGAGGAGGAAGAAAGGGTAAAAGGTAGGACTTTACTTGAAGGATGTTCTTTTCCCCTTGATGTGAAAAAGCTGGGGTGGGAAGGGGATAAGGCCTCAGAAGCACTGGGGCTCCTTCCTATCTTGCAAACTGAGGTGTGAGAGTGCAGGTGAGGGGTTGGGGGTCAGGGGTCAGAGATAAAGCAACCAGCCAGTTGTTTGGCCACCTAGAGTCTGATCTCTTATTCCCAACCGTTTCCAGGAAAAAAAGATCCCCTATTCCAGGAGAAATACTATGCCCATGAAGTAAAAAAAAAAAAAAAGTCTAAACAAGAGGAAGAGGAGAGCTGAAGGCCTTACTGGTAGTCAGTGGAGCTGCCTTTCCGTTTGCGATTGCAATCCATGCCACTGGTGCCGAGAGAGCTGGAGAGGAGGTCAGTGGGACCCGGGGACATGAAGTCACTGATGGTTGAGGAAATGTCCATTCGCTGGTCTGCCATATTTGAGTGTTCTGGCACATTCACAAAAGGGCACAGAGGGATGTTAATGTCAACCCGCTGTTCTAAAGGGCTCGTGGGTTGATTACAACGTTAACACATCTCTCACATTTGTCACCTCATAAATGCTCAATAAACAAAACACAATAGCATTAAACCTGCATTAACCCACCCACACAGGTGTGTTTACATCTTAAGCATGCCTACTGGCTGTCCCGAAGGGAATCCCTGTTGCTGGTGTGTACCATCCTGTTGGAACACGACCCATAGCTGACCTTCCAGCAGGTTTTCAGAAGCAGTTAATCACATGGAAGGAGACTGCCCCTGTTTCTCCTGGGAGCAGCAGATGGATTCCAACTGGGAACCTTTGCTAGAGCAGTGCAATTTCTTTCCAAATGTATAATGTGCTCAACTGAACGTTTCAGTCTTTGAGTCTAACCAGAGGGCCATAGTGAGCTACTTGCAAAACAATCAGTCATCAAGAGCCCTGTGGAACACAGGGTATCACTCATAAATTCAATGCAACTTTACAAAGGAAGAGAGCAACATCTGGATAGGTTGGCTTGTGGCCCAGTGTGGAGTGATGCTAGAGCACTGTGATTCAGTGGACCAGGGGAAGTGAAACTGGAAAATCAAGCTGGAGTCCAAAAGCTGTATTAGGGACTAGCTGAGCTGTACTGGGGTCTCTGAAGTAACCATGGAAAAGATTTAACAAAACAGAAAACTTCGTATAACATAATGAGGACACTGGAAGCAAATCTACAAAACATTTTGAGAATTTGTATTTTAAAATCACTGGCTCCAAAATTAAGGTGACAAGTACCTTGCAAGGGACTCCAACTCCAAACCTCACGGAAAAGGTCCGTGTGCTGCCCTCAGTCAGGAATCTGAGTGCCACACACTATGGCAGGGGCTGTCACTCCCTCTCTCTGGACCCACGGTTCCTCATCTGAAAAACAAGCAGGTGGGGCGATGACTGTGAGGTGCCCGCCCACACCACAGTTCTTATGGCTCCAGAGGACAGAAGACTTGCTCTTACTGAGGAGATGAAGGTGAAACTGTCAAGGCAGAGAATCTGTGTCAGGTTCCAGTTCTTGATCTCAAAACAAGAGATAGAAGATAATTCATGAAAGTCAAGGGGAGAAAGAAGGAAATGTGGGAGGAGATGGAGAAATAGGTTGGGAGGTGGCAACCTGAAAAGGAGAAAGCTGGAGGAGGCAGGATCCAGATCCAGGAAATCACACTTCTCCTGGAAAATGGCACAGAGTGGGAGTCAATGAGATGCTTGCCTATTTGGACAAGCCTGAGGGCTCTGCTGAGCAGCAGTCTCCTGGCAACTGTGAAAGCAGGGGACTGGTCAAGACCTCTGCTGTTCCTTCCAACCCTTCTCATTCACAGATTCCGCGGGTGCACAGACCTCAGTTCAGGACAGACCTACTACTAACATACTCTGTTGGAGACAGTGAGTAAATCATTATACTTCCTCCTAGACTTTGTCAATGAACACAGAGTCAGGTCAGAATTTCTAATGGCTGAATAGTATTTGAATTTTGGCTTTAGCTCTGTGTGTCTCTGTTTCTGCACTGATAAAGTGGGGGTAAGGACAGAACCTGCATTATTATCATTGTGAGGAATAAATCCTTCTGTATATAAAAATCACAAAGAAGGGCTCCTTAGATGATGTGCCCTCAGGGAGCATGAGCTGTTGTTTTACTGGGCCAGTAGGCAACATCATGACAGAAGGAGAAGAAACAGAAATCATTGGTTTAATCTTGCTTGGCATCAGTAGCCAGGAAATTAAAAAAAAAAAACAAACCATACTGCATTAGCAAAGTCTGCTGTCAGGACTTCTCCAAAGTGCTGTAAAGCAATTATGTCGTTTTTGAGGACTGAGGTGCACCTGACACAAACCATCATCTTTCCAACTAGCTGATCTTTCCAACACAGTTGAAATCTGGCAAATGAATAAGGATAACAGAAGAAGAATCAATGCCTTTGAGTTGTGGTACTGGACAAAGTCCTGAATATCCCATGGACCACCAAAAGGACAAATGAGTGTGTCTCAGAAAAGGTGCAAAGAGGGTGCTCCTTGGAGGCAAGGATACTGGAACTTTGTCTCACTGGGCATACGTTGGGCATGTTGTTAAACGGGGCTAGTCCTTGGAAAAGGACATCATGCTTGGAAAAGTGGCAAGGGTCAGTGAAGGAGGGGAAGATCTCCTTTCTTCAACTAGATGGACTGACATAGTGACTCTAACAATGGGCTTGTCAGAGATGGTCAGAATGGATCAGGATACGGCAGGACTTAGATCCACTGTTCATTGTTACTATGAATCATACTCAACTTGTCAGCATTGTCAACTTAACAACACCATTGTGCCGACTGTTTAGTAAACTAGTATTCCTATAGGCAGGTATGTGTGAATTTTCACTCTGACAAACAACCCTCAAGTGAATGTCTTTGCACACTTATTTCTGTGCAGTTGGGCTACTATCCCTTTGAATTAATTTCTAAAGCTGGGACTGACAGGCCCAAAGGGTTCATTTTGGCATATTCTGAAACAATGTCTATCAGAAAAGCTCCAATACTTAGTATTTCCAATAATGAAATAATTTAGAGTCAAATAAGAGCTTGTGTTGACCTAAAGGGGGTCAAATGTATGCATTGTTTTACCTTCATTTTAAAAATTACTACAGATAGTGTTCATATGTGTGTAGGTATTTATCTGTCTTCCTAACCTATCTACCTATTCACGCCCTCTTGTTGACCTTTCTTCCTCATCTGGTAGCTCTGCATAAAGCTTTCCCTCATGGGTGGCCTTACTTTTATTTTAAAAACTAGTGGAGTGACTCTCAGTGTCATAAAAGCATGCAGGCTACCAGAGTAGGATAAACTGACAGATGTGATAGCAAAAATGAAGACGTGGCAGTTGACTTCCAAAAGTTGGCCAATGAAAAATCACGTGAATCACAGGCAATCTTCTTCTCAGTTTATTCTTCCAATCTTCTCTCAAGAACTTAATATTTTCTCTTCTGTCCTCAAACCTCTAACATCTTCCTAGAACTCACTCTCAGCTGGGAATTGCCTCCTACCTACTAACAAAAGGAACCAGCAGCTACGTCTACCAACCTAACTAGCTAGTCCTAAGATCATCTCCTTCACCCTGTCCTTGAACTCCACCTCTCTCATGTAGGCAAGACCATGGCTCCATGATCCACACTCTTTGCATCATTAGCTTTCTCCATTAAGTGGGTAATTCTCAATAGGAAAATAGTCAAGAATTTGGAAATAATTCTTGTTTTGGAGAAACAAAAAGAAAACCTGTACCCCGTTTCCTTTTCAGCTAACGATCCTGGGTAGTATAAGTGGCTTCTTAACCTAAAGGTTAGCAGTTCAAATCCACCTAGAGAGCCTGCAAGAGTAAACCCTGGTGATTGACTTCTAACAGGCAACAGCTTTGAAACCCCTGTCTCAGTTCTACTTTGTATACAAGGGTCCAACCATGAGCCAACTAGCAACATACCTACAGTTACTGCCCCATTTTTCTGTCTCAAATTCATTTGCTTTTATTTTTCATAGCCCAACTCCATCATCTCAATAAAATAGCCTTTGTTATATTCACAACGACCTCGCCACAGCTAAATCTAATGACCAGTACTCCATTCTCTTCCTACTTGACCTGTCAGCAGCATATCTTGGGCGTCTCCTCCTCGTAACTGTCCCTTGGCTGCACAGTCACCATTTTTTATGGTCTTGTTCTATTTCAGGGTTCATAACCAGTTCTTCATATCTCCCTGACCTCTGAATAGTGGCAGTCCAGTGGAAGTCCTTGGACTCCTTGCCCATTTACTCAACTTTCTAGAAGAATGGATCTAATTTCACGGATTCAAGTACTACCTATATATTGTGATCATTTCCCAATTTTTATCTCTACCCTGGATATCTCCCTCAATACCAGAATTGGATAGTCAGCTGTCACTCTGATATCTTAATTTAAATTTTCAATAATTCAAAGAGAAGCATCCATAATCAAAGTACTGATTCTCCCCAAACTGAGCCTCCAAGTCATTTCCCTATTAGGAAGAGGCGCTTCACCCCTTTGGCTGCTCTAGTGCCAAATCTAGAAGTCATTCTCAACAAAGCTTTTCCTCATAAATTGCGTCTAGTCCTTTAGTATATCCTGTCAGCTCTATACTCAAAAGAAATCTAGAATTCAATTATATCTCCCCTTTTTTTCTTCACATTTCTTCTCAACTGTCACTTTGTCAGTGAGCTTCCTTGGACAACCACATGATATGAACAGATGATGCCTGAGAACTCTCCCTATCTACTCATTCTGCTTAGATTTTTTTCTCCATAGTTTTTACTGACATCGATCTACTACAATTTATGGTTGTATTTCTTTTTTTGCTGTCTTTTTCATTATACTGTAAGGATCAGAAGAAAGGGATTTTGTTTTAGTTATTGCTTGTATCCCTGGAATCAAGGGCATTTCTTAGCACGCAGGAGTTCTCAATAAGTAATTATGTAATGAACAGACAAGTAAATTTGTAAATTAGGTATACTAATTCTTTGTAGATAATAGATTTTGCAAATACTCCCCCTCCCCCTTTTGGTCTTTTGTTTACAACATTTGTTGATAGATGTAAGAGTTTTTAAAAGTCTTTTTTGCCCCTAAAGATAATGAGAATGGCTCAGGATGGGGCTAAATTCAGATATGTTGTTCACAGGGCCAAAAAGAGTCACAATCAACTTGACAGCACTTAACAATAATAACAACAACAAAAATAGTAAGAATATTCTTTTTTTCCTACTATTTCATCATTTTCTTTTTAATCTGCCTTCTTTAATCCACTGGGAAATTATTTTGACAAACTGTCAATGAATGCACAACTGTCCCGGCATTATCTACAGGACCATGCATATGCTTCTTAATGATTTAAAACACCACCTTTATTGATTTACTGTTTACTTCTGCACTCTCTAGTCCATTTTCTTAATCTAATTCTTTCCATTCTAGTACCACACTGATTTTTATTCTATAGCTTTATATACTTCTTAATATCTCCTAGAATTAATTCCTTCCCTCTTACTACTTGTCCTTCTCAGAAATTTGGCAAATTATTCTCTCTGATTCATTCTTCAAGCTGAACGTTAGAGTCATTTTGTCCCCTGAAGACCTTGTTGGTTGGCGGCCACTGTTGTTGTGGTTGTTGCACGGGTCAGGAATGAGAATAGAGCTCTACCCTCAGGGTCTTGGCCCTACTGGAGGGGATTCCCACAGGGAATACCGCTTGCCGCTACCTTTCTCAGGATGCCCAAATAACTGTCTGGGATAAAGCACTCCAGATGTCAGGACTCCTAGAAGAGCCTGCAATTCCCAAAAGGAGAATTACCACCCATGCTGCCAATGGTCAGTGCCTGGCAAGGTAAGGAATTCACTAATTACCTGACGTTATGGTTCTTAAACTTCAGATCCAGCTTTGGAGGAGCAAGGGCTGCTGGACGTGCTGGTCACCTTAAAGAGATTTTCATGTTTTGTAATTTCCTTCCAGACAGTCAACTTCTTCTAAAAACCTACAGTAGAGACAAAGAGAGAAGAAAATTCAGACAGGTCATTTGGGATAAATTTCAAAATCTCATTCATGTGGGAAGATGGCAGAATTCATGATTTCTAGTCATAGAGGGTGACACTGGGCAGGCTCATGCTCCGTTCACCTCCGGATTCTAACTCCACACCTCATCCCCTAACAAGAACATGGAACGAGGCAAAGGGAGTCTTCAGAAAACTCTAAGGCCAAATGCCAGTGGGGCCAATACCAATTACTAAGTGCTGGTGGAGAACTAATATGTGTAAGAAATGTCCATGAAGCAGTCTGGCAATCCTTCAGCTCCTTGATAAACCTAAATACAGAGTATGAAGGATATGGTAGGAGTTATTTGTGTGAAAAGTTACGCTTTTCATGTTACTAGAATGGATTCTTGGACATGCCATTAAGAGAAGGAACATAACTGTCTAAACATCTCATACTGGGTGAAGTAATACTTCGTCAGCTCATCTGTGGCTGGGTTGGTAGACTCATAGCTGACCCTCCAGCAGGTTGTCAGAGGCTGTGAACTGCACGGGAGGAAACTGCCCACTTCTCCCACAGAGCAGCTGGTGTACTGAAACCCTCCTGACTCTGCCACTAGTGCTCCTGTAACTGCAGCGAACACTTAATAATGCCGAGTATGTACCATTCTTTTTGCTTTACTTAGATGAACTAATTTAATCCTGAAAATAACACTGTGAAATAGAAACAATTATTTGTTTTATAGATGAGATGACAGAAGCACAGAGAGGTTAGAAAAGTAATCAAAGACAAACAGGAGAAAAGTGACAGGCCCGCGAAGGAGACACTAACTGGCAAAGGTTTCACTCAACGCCCTTTCAAGCAGAGTTAGTTACCTAAATGCAGTCACCTAAGAAGAAAAAGAAATCAGAAAACATCAGTTCACAATGTAAGGAGGGCCAATAGTTCCCAACCTAATTGCTGGGAAAGAGCTAAGATGTCTACAGAAAATATCCATGAAGCTTGAGTGGACACACGTGAAGCTAAGACAGATGCGTTCTGAAGAGGGACTTGTGTTTTAACAAAGGGGCATCGCTTGTCCTCCCCTTTCCTGTTCAGGGTCTTCTCTCCATAATTCTGGTGCATGTCAAGGATTCCTGAATCTAGGAGAACAGACCCCTAAGAGGAAGAAAAGGGTCTTATGAGTTCCATCCCTTCTCTGCTTGAGATTTGAGATAGCTTCAATTCTAAGTGCATCTTTCCTGGACTTTTTCCAGGGCTGAATTCTTACATTTCTCATACTGTGGATACCCTTGCAGAAATTTAAGTAGATTAATTATCACAGCCTTTGGATTACGTATCTTTATTCTGATCATTATAAAGATCTTTAAATGAATATCCAGGAATAGACCTGATTTTCTCTTGATGACACAACCTTGCTCGCTGAAACTGAGGAGGACCTCATGCACTTATTGCAGAGGGTCAAGGACTGCAGCCTTCAATATGGACTGAGGCTCAATGTTAAGAAGACAAAAATTCTCACCACTGGACCAATCGGTACCATCAGGATGGATGGCGAAGAGATTAACATTGCTCACAGCCTCAGTTTGCTCGGCTCCACGGTCAACACTCTTGGCACCAGTAGCCAGGAAATCAAAAAACGTATTGCGATGGGAAAGTGCGGTTAGGGACCTCTCCAAAATACTGAAGAACAACAGTGTCTCTCTGGAGACTAAGGTCTGCCTGATACAGGCCATGGTTTTTGCAATCACTTGTTATGCATCAGAGAGTTGGACAATGACTAGGGAGGCTAGAAGGAGAATTGACACCTTTGAGCTGTGGTGCTGGAGAAGAGTATTGAATGTACCATGGACTGCCAAGAAAACAAACAGATTCATCGTAGAGAGGATTAAACCAGGCTGCCCCTTGTAGGCAAGGATTCTGGGGCTTCGTCTGACATACTTTGGACATGTTATAAGGAGAGACAGGTCTTTGGAGAGGGACATCATGCTGGAAGAGTGGAGGGACAGCGCAGGAGGGGAAGACCCTCTATGAGATGGATTGATTCAGTGTCTGGGGTACTCGGGATGGGTTTGTCAGAGGCAATGAGATTGGCACAGGATAGAGCATGGTTTAGGGCTGTTGTACATAGGGTCGCTATGAGTCGCAAACAACTCGACGGCACATAACAACAAATGTATTCCTCTTTGTAAGACTAAGTCAGGAAATGGAAAAAGCAGTACTTGCCCTGCTTGAACCTGTTAGCCATGGTCTGGGCATGTGCAAATAATGCAGCCAAGACTTCTAGTTCTTCAATCCATAAAACTGCAGCAAATGTATGCAAAACCCCTGGGACAGGGCTGCTGGAGGATTAACACATGTAATTCAATCTCGCTGTGATTCCTTCCTTAGTCACATGATCCATTCAGCACCCTGCTTCTGCTGAACCCACATTGTTACAGGCGTGTCTTCGTGAGCCCATCCCTTCCAGCCTCCTGTGCGGCTTGTATTCTCAGCGTTTTTGATCTCTGCTTTCATGCCTCTGTGGACACATCTATGCCACTGCAGCCACTAACTGCTTCTGTGTTACTAGGGTCACTTTCATGCTCCTTCATGAAAGCTACTGCACTGTCTGCTTCCACCTCAGCAGAGGTGGGTACCCAATAAATGTCAAATTTAATCAATTCATGTTTTTCTCTTTTCCTCATTTCCCTAAAATGTAGACAGGGTTACTGGGAGGAAAAAAAAAAAAAAGAGGAATGTGGTAGATTTCATTAATGCCCAAATACAGGTTGCCTTGCTCATTGAGAAGATAGATTTGCTCTTCTGTTAATGTCTTAATGGCCTGGCCAAGAGAACGGCCTTGACTAAAGATATGGGAATATTCTTCAGAAAAAAAAAAAAGAATAAAGAGGAACACAGATTGTTAGTGCAAAGGATTAACGAACTGCACAGACTTCAGTGTCCACAGCCCTCAGGCCAGAATAAGATGACCCCCAGCTATCCCTGCCGCCTGCTCTGGAAGGCACACATAAAGAGGGCAGTATCTGACTAGTGATAAAACTCAAGAGGCAGGAAGGACTAGGAAAGACGGACAAATGGAAATGGGAAACACTGGTATGAAGTGGGGAGAGTGCTGTTATAAGGGAGCTCATAATCAATGTCACAAAATAAAAAGTGTATCAATTATAGAACAGCAAATTCATTTGCTTATCCATTTTCAGTCAAACTACAAGTTAAAACCCCCCAAACCAACTAAACAATGAAGCTAAGAGATAGGAGCAGAAGTGAAAGATGCAACTTTCAAGCAGAACTTCTGATGTGTGCTCCTTGATTTGTGCCCAAGACCAGCAGTTTTCTGGATGTTCTACATGGAGGGCAATACAAGGAAGAAGGAAACCACTGCTATCATAAAGCAGCTGAGAGGTTGAGGCTACTGATTACCAGGGCTGATGAGATTCTTTGTCAGTGCTGTTGTAGCACCAGCAGTTTAATATCCCAGGATCCAGCCACCTCTACCCCAGGCAAATCAAGATGTGGGTTATGACCACTGTATAGCTCACCCTAAGCTGACACAGGAAGGAAGAAGGAAAGACAGACTAAGATCCTAGATCCTAAGATCCATTAAGTCTGGCCTGGACAGGAGACGGGAACAAAAGCAGTTTTAACCAAGCCAGTTCAATCTCCTGTTATTTATGACCATGAAACCAATTTTCCAAGTGAGGAAATAAAAGATTGAAGAGACAAAGTATTCTCACTGAAGATCACACAGTTGCTGGTGGGGATTGGAGCCCAGCATGTCTCACCTCATGTCGGTCTTCTAACTTGCACACAGCTGTCCATCCTACCTTCAAAAAAACCCACTCCCACAAACTAAAATGCAAAAACAATAGGAAAATCAGCAATCCCAGGAAAGGAATGGAAGAAAATTATAAGAAAGGTGTCAGGGCAGAAACCAGCTGGAAACTGAGCAAGGAAACTCTGACCTTCCTGGTAGCTAAGACAGAGACAACTCTGTTCTCAATGGAGAAGACCAGGAAGTGTCCCACCCAGTTCAACAGGACAGTCCGAGGAAGGCTAGGGGGCTGGCCACATAGTTCACTCCAGGGGTGCGGGTAATCCTGTGCCAAAGCACTCTGGGAAAATGAGCTCTGTGAAAGACAGAGGCATTTTAAAACTCCCTGATTTTAAAATGGGGTCTCAGACAAAGCCTCCCTCCACTCCTGCAAACCCCCAGGTGCATCAGCTGAAGGGAGTTCTAGTAAAACCCCTATGGGAGCCCCAAGATGCCACTAGTGTAGTGGCTTTTGATTATGTAATTTAATAAAAAGACATGGCTTATGGGCAGTAGTGAATCTAGGTTTTAACTACACTGTCTTGTGACAGCATGCTTACTGATATGATTCTCCACAAAAATCCAAATTTCCCAGGAAGGGCCGTCATGGTGTCTGCCCTGCACTCCTATAACCTGCAGGGAGCTGGCCTTGGGCAGTGTACATACTCAGAAACCCCTGCATTTCTGCTGCTCCCCAAGGAGCTCATGGCAGATGGCCCTAGCCCCATTCTCCACTACCTTGTGCTGGTACCTGACTGGATGTTTGCTTAAGGAATGAATGTTGAGTCACTCCAATATGGTGGACTTTGAGCAGAGGCAAGAGGTTCATGGGGTCCATCCTCTCCACAAGTTCCTCTGGAGCTCCCTGCCCCCTTAGTTACTCTGAAAGCCCAAGGAGAGTTCAGCTGCTTTGCCTTTTAACCAGAACTGAGTTAAACAGTTTTGAACTGATGTGCATTGAACAAGGTATGCACAGGCTTAATTGTGTTTACTTGCTAAACAGTGGGGAGCCTCTTGTATGAGTTTCACTACACCACCGACGTGATAAGGGACAGGTGAAACAGTGCACTGTAGATTGGCAGGAAGGCACAATTGGATCCATATGCACTTGGTTAACTGTGTAGTAGAACTCTACTTGTAATCAATACATTTAGAGACCATTCACCTAGTAAGACTAGGTAGGTATCTTG